GTATTTATTAAAAGTTTTTTTTTTCTTTACTCAAAACCACAGATAAGGTTAACTATGTAAAACTTGGACATTATTGACTGCAGTTTGACAAATTGCAAGATGACTGATTTTGAATTGAAGGTGAAATTCAATATCCTTTTTACACTAAAAGATATCATATCTATAGAACATAAATTTACAATGTTACTCGCTTTGCCCAGGAATGTCTTGTAAAGTGGGAACCTTATCATAGAATATTAGAGGTTGACTACACGAAGTGATGAACCAATAGACAGGTTACTGCCCTTTCATTAATCTTCCCATCATGTGTGACTTTAATATTTTTTACGTTCCTGTGATTCTTCTTTGTAACATCAGAGTTGTGGAAAACTTTTTCAGATAGCCAGTCATTCAGACTGGGAAGAAGACAAAATAAGCTGGTCCGAAGTGATTTTTGCCGGTCCGAAATAATAAATTGCAAAACTAAAAAAAAGCATAAATTTATTCACTTCATTACACATCTATTTACTTAATAATAATATAACATTCAGTCTCCATTTGAAAGTCCTCTTCCAATTTCGTTTCTTGCATTTATAACAATACTAGATTTCACCACTTTTGGGCAGGTGAGCATAGTTAAAGTAATTTTTTTGAAACATTTATGCATTTGGGAATTAAATGATTTTAAAAATTTAAGAAATTCTGTGCATCGTTAATAAAGATATCAACACGATTGCATGGTGAAAAAGCGAAATCCAGGACAGTCGGAAGTATTAGATTTTCCCCAACTGTGTTTGAATTCTTTCTGTCTAAATTTTTTCATATTTTATCTTTATCTGTTTCTTTATGTTTTCTACTTAATTCTGCCCCGTTGTAAATTTAATAGGTCACAAGACCATGCTGGTTTCGCTTTCATTTTCAGTCTAGAACTCGTGTAAAGAAAAAGTATTGCGCAATCACATATAAGGTACAATAATTTACCTGGGAAGTGCACCGATAATAAATGGAAGAAAAAAAATTGACTAAAAAAAGGGCTGGTCATTTGGACTGACATCGATAGCATTTTAACCGGTCACACACATATTTTGCCGGCATGACGGGCAGTTTTCCACAACTCTGAACATATGAAGCACAGTTGATAAAACACATGTTCTAATGCAGCAGGATTTTTTTAAAAAGTCATTTATGTAGCCATTGCTTGATTTTGAAACTTATGATTATTATTGTTTCAAAAAAGTCTGTTGGAATGCATGCATGTACAAATGTAAATTAACAGGTAAAAAGTAATGATATTTCTCCATTCTAATATTTTTATTTGCCTATAAACATCTTAACTTTAAAATTACAATAAAAAATTTAATAAAATTTACACTAACTTATAAAGCTTTAAATATTGCATGACAAACCCTTGGTTGTAGTGAGAACAACCAGTACATAAAAATATAGCTCACAGCCGTAATTTTACATTTTACATGAGTCTGATTTAATACAGAGTCTGGAAGAAGGGTGCACAATCAGTGATTGGCAATTCATTTATGGGGAAGGGGGGGAGGGGGGGTAAACAGTAACAGTAGTGGTGATAGACACCCACCCCTACCCTTGTTCATCCACACAAAGAAGAATGACAGACTGAAAAGAAGGAAAATTTGACTATTTATGACATATTGAATTAAACACCTAGTTGAGAAACTAGGTCTTTGATGGTAGAATAGAGTATGGTATGTGATAAAATAAAAAAAAAGACTCACACTTTTACTATAAAGCTTTAAAAAAAACTTTCTGATGGGAATTTCTTGCTTTTGAAATAAAGTTCAAAGTAAGCAGGTGTTTTTGCTTATGAGAGGTAAACTTATCATTAATGGGGTGTTGTTTTAGTGAAAATATTAAAATGTATCTCAAGACAATAAAATACAAAGATTACAGTATAGAGAAAATCATAAAGTTAGCCATAAAACATTTAAGTTACAAAATAAAATGTCTACATGCCCAGACCATTGAATTCAGGATAATTCTCCAGAACATGCACTAGGTTACTGTTTTCTGGTGTTTATTGGTCATTAAAGCTGCTACAGAACATTTTTATTTACTTGTATTGGTGATTGAAGCACCAGTTAAGAAATTGTATGCCTCAAGTTGATGTGTTTTAGCATGCGGAATCTCTAATGATCTGATGTATGCCTATCATACAGAACCTATGTTTTATTCCAGACTGGGTTCTCTCTGACCATTTCAGACATCATTATTGAAATTTTACAGAGTACCGGTACCGTTTTGACTCTTTCATCAATAAAGAGTCTTTTCTTCATGTTGTTTCATTCCTTTTAAATTATGTTTGTACATGTATGAGAAATGAAATATAATATTTTTTTGTAATTAACCCCCCCCCCCACCCCCAAAAAATGCATCTAATGTATCCATAGAGTGAAAAGTCATAAAGTGGGAATGGTTGGTATAAACAGGTGGTTGTTAAGACAGGTTTCACTGTATGCATTGAGTACACAATTTTATGAAACACCTGTGTTTTTATCTGTATTAAGAAAACTCAACATTCAGTTTTATACAGGGCTATCAGTACATGAAAGGAAGATGCACAGTTGTTAACATGCTCAGTATTACACTCTGTGATGCATCATTAAATTCTTTGATGATTATTAGTTTCCAGTCAAGATGTCTTTCTTTTATATTTCTTTGATTATGTAAGAGGGCATATTGTTATCATTTTAATCTTATTTTATAAGGCCTTTTTGTTGTTGTTGATGAGTGGAAACCTGTGAAATTATTTTAATCTGGCTAACATTTGCAATTGAAGCTACATGTATGTTAGTGTGGAACATTAATATTCAATATATTCGTAAATAGTGTGCCAATCAGATAAAATAGTCATTTTGTTTGGATATTTTCTTAGCATAATAACAATGTGATATTCAGAAAATGCCTTTCAGTCCCAGAATCTTGGAACCATTAGGAGATAGAAGTACATGATAAGTAAAACAATTCTGATAAAGGTTTTGTATGAGAGACAAAAATATTTGAATAGCTTTTTACATCAAGATTTAAGAACAATTTTTTAAATATACCCCAACAATCCTTCAAGTAGTTTACCAGATAAAAATCATAAAAGAGTACCTATAATACAGTAAAACTTGTCTAAGCTGGGTGTTGTGTATTTTGAAATCTTGCCTATTATGATGAAAATTGTTAGTATTTTTCAGAAGATTCAATCATTGAAAGTGTTGTCTAATCTGGTGAATTTGATGTCCACAGATTGGACAAGTTTTACTATTACATCAATAAATAAGGTAATATCATAGCTGACATAGACGTAACATTGAGCAGAGCTTAGCTGAAAAGTCAGGGGAGATAATCTTTATCTGAACAGTGGTGGTGATTGTGCATTGGAATTAATTGAGCAGATTAATGCAGCCTTAAATGTCATCAGTCAGGTGGATTATCTTATACTCCAGTGTATTAGGTGCATCTTGTAATTAACCAAGGTTCTGGGCAGAAAAAAGAAGACTTAGATGTGTTTTAAGAAAGAAGAGAAAAGCCAATTACCTACATCTTACTTATCTGCAGTTTGTCTGAAGAGTCTTCATGTTACAGAGCAAGGCTTCTCAGATCAATCAGTATACTTAGCCTTTTGGTGATGCTGCAATCAAAACATGCTCTGGGTAAATCTTTCATCAAGTGTAAACTTCTAATACAGGTTAATTTTGTATATATCAATGTGTCCTTGAACTGAAGGTCGTTTTGTAAAATATAACAACTGGATATCAAGCTATAGCTAGCATCTCAATTCACTTAAACCCTAAAATGCATATTACAGTAAAACTTGGTTGTAAAGAAACTTGCTTATTAGGAAATTTTGGTTATCAGGCAACTTTTATGAATCATAGTGATGACTTTGCATTACAGTTGAACTTCGGTATTTGGAACACTGATATCTCGAATACCATGGATATGTCGAAGTCATTTGGAAGTATCAATCCCTTATTCTTTTAGTATTTTACCCCGGATATCTCAGATCCTTGGACATCTCGAAGTTTTTCTTGGTCCCATTGGATTTGAGATAACGAGGTTTGACTGTATATTTTCATACATATAAAAAGAATCTTGGTTTTAAGGAAACAAAAACTGAGTTTTACTGTTCATGTATTACTCATTTTTTAGGTAGCAAACTAATATTTTTTGTACCAGGTAAATGAGAATAACTTTGGAAATGAAGCTTTAAAACAAATCAACTACTGTAACAAATGTAAATATTCTACACTGAAAATCTTTAAAAAAGAATAGTAGTTTCCATCCCACCTCCTTTAGTTTGCTATGGTAATAAATCTAAAGTAAAATTTCGTATCAATGATGTAAAAGTAGATAAAAATAGGAAAAGAGATATTGGTCCCTATAGCTTTCCTGTTGCTCCTAAATGATGAACACTCAATAGGAATTAAGCAATTTAAGTTATCATGAAAATTGTATTAGATTTATCTAGAGGGCAGTGACTTTAAAATGAAGCTGCTATAATGTTCAACAATGGCAGAGATATGGCAAATATGTTTTGTCATTTTCTGTCTATATTTAATCAAATGTCAGATTTGAAATTCTTGGATAAGTGATAAAATTTAAATACCATTTGCTCTAAAACTCAGCTATTATTTTAAATCGTTTAAATATCATTTACATTGAAAATGTGGGTTATGAGATTTTAAGAATAAGAAGTGTGCTGTATTTGTATACTATGATAAACTTAAAGCATTTATTATTACAATAAAACATCTTTATAGCGAAGTAAAAGGGATAAACAATTGGTTCTTAAATTATTTTGGTTAAGTTCATTATATGTGTTAAAACCACAGGGAATAAAAACTATGGTACTTCACTGTAAGCATGCAATCGTTATAAGTGTGTTCCCTGTAACTGCATTGTACTTTATTCTGAAAAAATAAAAATATGCTGCAATAAAAAGGTATTGTAGAGGGATAAGGATTTCCTGCATAGAACTGAAATTCTTTTGCTATTTTCAGAACTGGTCACAGATTCTACAACATTCCAGATCTACACTCATCCTGACATTGTAGGGTCAGTCCAGGCCACTATAGACACCACCAGAGACCAGCTATTAGTGGGAGCAAGGTAAATATGTTAGGGACAGTCCAGGCCACTATAGACACCACCAGAGACCAGCTGTTAGTGTGAGCAAGGTAAATATGTCAGGGTCAATCCAGGGCACTATAGACACCACCAGAGATCAGCTGTTAGTGTGAGCAAGGTAAGTATGTTAGGGTCAGTTCAGGCCACTATAGACACCACCAGAGATCAGCTGTTAGTGTGAGCAAGGTAAGTATGTTAGGGTCAGTCCAGGCCACTATAGACACCACCAGAGATCAGCTGTTAGTGTGAGCAAGGTAAGTATGTTAGGGTCAGTTCAGGCCACTATAGAAACCACCAGAGACCAGCTGTTAGTGGGAGCAAGGTAAGTATGTTAGGGTCAGTCCAGGCCACTATAGACACCACCAGAGATCAGCTGTTAGTTTGAGCAAGGTAAGTATGTTAGGGTCAGTCCAGGCAACTATAGACACCACCAGAGACCAGCTGTTAGTGGGAGCAAGGTAGGTATGTTTGGGTCAGTCCAGTAAGTGGGAGCAAGGTCAGTGTCCTTAGGCTCTGTATTGTCAATTTCTGTTTGGACTTTTAAGGCTCAATATCCCTATGTTCTCTCATACAAAATTTTGTTTTAATGCCAATGATTTTCCAAAAGAAATTAAATTTATAATCAAAATGCACACAATTTCAACATACCTTTTGAAGCAAAAAAAAAGCCCCTTTTGACAATTTTATAGATGAATTATAGTCATTAATCCAAGTCAGAGTTATCTCTCTTATCAGAGGGTCAGTGAACCTTAAATTCAACACTAGAAATACTAACCAAACACACACTGCTCTTTGCAGAGAACAGCTTTGGAGATTTTCCCTCAGTGATCTTAGCTTAGAGGAGAGCTTGGAATGGAAGTCAGAAGACAAAGAGAGCTGTGTGCAGAGGGGACAGCAAGAGGTATGACAGCCAAGGGCATAGTCAGGAGATAGGGGAAGGGATAAAGATGGTAGAGGGGGTTTAGATGGTCTGTGAAATAAGAGTATTGTACATAAAGAATGGACACATAAAAAACATATACGAGCTAAATCTTGGAAGAGTTGAATTTTGCCACTTCAAGAATTTGGAAAATAAGAATCAGTGCTGATCTGCATCTCAAATTGAAATTTAGATTAACTGTAAGGTACAGGTCATCATTGGTCAAGGTGATTAAAGACATTTTTAAGGTCAAGGTTGAATACAAAGATGAAATATAATACATGTAATATATATTCTTATTATATATATTCTATCAAAAAATACTCACTGTTTTGCAAACACATGTTTAAAGTCAAAAGCTGATACCAAGGTAGTTGTCACTTGTCTACTTTTGATTGAATGTTAATATGCAATAGATTGAACTTTTTATCCTCTCCAGAATTTGAGTTGTCAAAAAAGAGCAGATTTATGAGACTGACCTAATGATTATTAAGCCATATTCTACACACCGGTGTCTTTTAACAGTTTAGAGTACATGGTGAATCATGCTTTTTTTTTTTGGCCTTTTGTTCAAAGACGTCAGAGCAAGCTTTTTTAAATTAATGGATGTTAGATCTCTGTGTTGTGCATTGTCAGTAGTATTTTAACAAGGGTGGGGTTATTTGCATGAAAAAAAAAAGAATGAAATTTTTGAGTTTCGTTAAGTGGATAGCATTACGGTACACAATTTGAATAGAGAGAAGTAAACTTAATTTAGTGGTCGTGGCATCAGAATTACGTAATCTTTGCATGTTGAAATCATATAAGAGAGAGAAAGTTAAGAACTCTGGGTGCATTTTAGAATTGTTGACAAAGAGTATAGGAACTTGTAACCTAGATGATCAATGGGATTGTCAAGTGGTCAAACATATTTACACATTTTTAGTCCTCTCTCTGTCTGCTTGGGCTGATTATTTCAGAGATATGACTTTATAAAAAGAAGAAATACTTTTTTTCTCACAGATTTGATCTACGATGTTTCCTGTATAGTAACAGCTATAAAGGAAGTAGTTGTGAAAATTATTTTCAGCAAGATATTTTGCTCTTACACACCCATCCCCCCGTCTTCTGAATTAATGAATGGAATGGATGCATGGGAAGGGATGAAATAAGAGTTCTTTGCCGGGCAGTTCAATTCCGTGCATTACCGGTGCAGTGTATTTAGACAAAAATCAAGATTTAATTGACAGTAATAAGATATCAGTTAGTTGCCTGATGTGCCATTTTTTTGCTCTGATGGTTTGGGTTGAAAATACAAATCTTGCCTTGTAGTAAATTTGCAGTAGTAATTGGCATTTTGTAGAGCATATTTTATAATAATAATAATGAAATTTGATTAAAACCTGATGGCAGGTTTGGGATCTAAGTGTTTCTGTGCCTTTAAATTACAGATATAAGATCTCATTTACTCAACACACCTGTAAATACACTTAATTATTAATAAATCCCAGACCTTCAGTAGTTAGGGGAAAGTATTTCCTGTCACTTCTCTAAAAATTTGGACTTTTATTTTAATTGAGAATTCATATTCAGTCATGCACTTCTGTCTCATGAATTTTTACCAAAGATACTGTTAATATTGTGTTTTCATAGATGGTAACCAGGCTTTAAACAAAAAAGTGTACTAACTTGCATGTGTAAATTATGAAAAATACATATTTACTTTTTTGACTACTAGAGATGCATTTATTACAATGAAATACTTAAAGTTAACATACTAATAAACTTAAATTATTTGGATATTTGATGTCTATATTACAATTATTTATTAATATTAATAGCTTGTATTTAACATTTTTAGAGTGACTGTTACAATTTCATCAAAATTTTACTGGTATACCAGGACGACATCTTAGTGTGTGGCACCAACGCCTTCAACCCATGGTGCACCTGGAGGGCTGTAAGTATCGCCGTGACAACCTGGATCTCTTTGTAGAAAAAGTTCCCAGCATTAAAAAATAAATACCCTGCTGTTAAAAGTAATCTGTTAAGTTGTGTTCCACTATTTTAATGAGTGATGAAGCGAAATCATGGAATATATTATGCAATTCTCAGCTCACGTAAAGGCAGCAAGTGTAGGGTTTTGTACTGGTTCTCATAAAATATATCTTTTGTCCACTGAATAATTCTCCTAGCATTATATTGACCTAGCTTATATTGAATGTTTTTTAAATAAAGTGTTTTAAAGAATAATAAGTAACAGTTTCAGTAATGTTACAATTGAAAAAAAAATTCAAGAATATTATCTTAAACAGCTTAATTGGCATTTTTCATAATTTCAGTAAGCTTACCTGAGAAACTTTTCACAGGATCTATAACTCTTAACAAATTTTTAGTGTTTTATGTTAATTTTAAGAATTAGAACTTTCCAGCTACCGAGTTTGTCAACAAGTTTCATACACTGATTTATGAATTTTTTTAATCAACTGTATAAAATAAATGGAGGCATTTGTTCTGTAGGCTGACAATCTGACAGAAGTAAGGGAGACCATCCCCCGGGCCTATGGCTTCTGTCCCTTTAGTCCCCACCATAACTCGACAGGAATCATCACCAGTCAGCGAGACTACATCAGCGCTACATCAGTAGATAGTGCCCAAAGAATACCCGTCATTTACAGAATCTACACACACAGCAACGAAAAACTCAGGACACAACAAAACTCCAAGTGGCTCAATGGTAAAAGCAACATGAACAGTGTTTTCTCGAAGAACTGGCTACTGGCGAAATTGACCACTTCAATTGTTATAAATGCCACTTAGAAATCAAAATTTAAAACATAACTGTTAAAAAGTCCACAGAGATAATATTCATAAACCTCGACCCCTAGCCTGTTAATTTTGATCTCTAACACTTTACTTTGAAACAAAGGGAAGACACTAAGTATGCCAGCTAGTTAATCATGCTAGCAAAACTCCAAGTGGTTCAATGGTAAAAGCAACATGAACAAACTGGTTACACTGTAAAATGTACTAGTTAGTTTAAATCATGCCATGCAAATGTAAAACCATTTAACATTGAAAACTGTCTTGAAATGGGCTACTGCTTTCATCTCATTTTGTTTGTCCTTGTTCATCCTTGTCAATAGATAAATTTAATGATGTTTTTTATTACTAGCTTAATTTTAAATTTGAATTAACAATAAATATTAACATTCTTGTCATTACTATAAAAGTTTTGAGCGTCCTGTAGGCATGCAGTATTCAAAGGGCAGTAACTCTTATAGAGGTATTTGATTTGCAGAGCCTGATTTTGTATCAGCTTATGAAATAGGAGACTTTGTATACTTCTTTTTCCGAGAAGTGGCCACGGAATATATCAACTGTGGCAAGGTAAGTATATATTTATTGATTTTCTCTTTGAAAAGGTACTGCAAAAATTTTGAGAAAATATTACAAAATGTACCTGGTAATTAAAACAGTGCTACATCAAGTATGCATTTTTATAAAGTTGTATTAGTAATTATCTTAGTTGTATCAGTAATTATCTAATTATTACAGAGAATCTATGCAAGGGTAGCAAGAGTATGTAAGGTAAGTAATTTTCAGTACATATGACAGATTGTCTAAAATGACAAACTAATGCCCCTTTTTTATAAAATTATACAAATTTGAATTAAGCTATCTTTATTTTTTAAAGAAATGTTTGCTTGCCCTTTCCTGACTCAGGTTAAAAAAAAATTTGATAGGTGGGGGAAAGAGGGGGGAGGTCCCCCCCCCCCCCAAAAAAAAATCTTGCAAACATAAATATAATAAAAAAATTAATTTCAAAATGATTTTAAAAAATATAAACGTTTGTAGGAGGTTTTAAAAAAAGTATATTTAAGTTCCTATAGAAAAAGTGATGTAGATTGTTAAATACAAACAGTCATTGAGAATTCTGAATTTTCTATATTTCTTTAAGTATTATACTATGGGATGTTAGACCCCAAACTTTCATCTTTATATACAGTGAAATTTCAGTATCTCCAACATTGATATCTTGAATACCATGGAGATGTTCAAGTAAATTGGAAATTCCATCCACTTCTGTCTTCTATTTTTTAAGATTTTTATTTCTAATCCTTTTATATTTGAAATGTTTTAAGATTTCGTTGAATTTGAGTTCATGAGGATTGACTATATTGCAAAGTTTGTTGAGCATAAATTTGAAAAAATAAATGATGTTTTGCAAGGCTACTGGAGAATTTTCCTAATCATTTTTTTTTTCATCAAAGTCTGACAAGGGTGGAGAGATGTTTTTCAAGGATAACTGGACAACTTACCTGAAGGCACGATTAAATTGTTCCATTCCTGGCGAATACCCATTCTATTTTGATGAATTACAGAGTACATATCTATTAAAACACAATAATGAAAGCTTGCTGTATGGAGTTTTCACAACACCCGAGTAAGTACACAGGAAAACCCATTATATAGTATACTGTACTTATTTTAGCAGAAATCAAATTTTAGCATCTTTCGTACTGCTTCTTGCTCACTAATTCAAGGATGCTAATAGATTTAAACATATAAGTACTTTGCCCCAAATGTGCTAGTTTATGATCACACTAATCAGCTGATGAGGAATTTTGCACAAATTTTTGAGAGGGCTATAATTTTTTTTATGCTCACAGTATCTAAGTTCTTGAGTCAGAGGCTCAAATAAGCTGCTGTGGTCAATCTAGTGCATATTAAGCAGTTTCATAATCAACATTAAGCACATGTCTCCTATGAAGCTCAGATTCATTATTTTTCATTCAATTTAACTCATCTAGCGAAATGTATTAATCATGAAAGATTTTTTTCTGTATTCTTTATAGTAATGCCCTTCCTGGAAGTGCTGTGTGTGTATTCAATATGTCCTCCTTCACTGCAACCTTCAGTGGACCATTCAAATATCAGGAGAGTGCTAAGTATGCCTGGGAAAGACATTCAAACAAGGAACCCTTGTTAAGGGTAAGGATTACTGTGTATAGGGTGGCATGAAATCATACATTTATATAGAGGTTTACTTTTGAGATTCACGCACCTCTATTAAGGTACAGTTGAACTTCAGTATCTCAAACATGGTTCTCTCAAATACCATGGATATATCTCAGATGTATATCTCAAATACCCATGGATATACCTCAAACTTGGATATCTCAAATACCATGAATATATCTCAGTATATACCATGCATATATGCCAAACATGGATATCTCAAATAGTATTAATATTAGGGATGTTAACAAATATTCGAACATTCGAATATTCATTCGATGAGTTAATATTTGAATATGAATTTGAGATTCGAATATTCGGTGGTTTTCAGATTTCACAAAAAAGGTAATAAATTTTAATTAGAACAGTTCTGGAATTATCCCCGTTTTATTTACTAGCGATCCCCGATTCCTTTTGCTACTTTCTTATCTTATAGATCTTCCAAATTATTTTCATTTTGAGTTAGGTATAAAGAAATAGTAAGGTATATAGAAATAAACAAGAACTATTAATGTATGATACAAAAAGTACTTTCAGTAGTTTTATATGATCGGATCTAGAACCGAGGACAACGAAATGAAACCTTCTTGAATGTCTAAGAGACGTGAAGGATGTACTTATGAAAATAATTTTTATTGATCATTGAATTACATCTTTGATAGAATCAGCCTGTAATATTGTAAAGGGCTCAATTTCAGAATAATGCACCAATTACTTGATTATCTCGGGTTAAATATAATTTTAAAAATTTAAAATCATTATCGGGAAATTAATGACCTAGGAAAATTGTCCATGAAATTGTTTGTTTATATTGTCAAAACATTGTATCAAAGATTATATAATATCTTTTATTAAGCAGATAATTGTAATTAATTACGTGTTTTTGAATCTGAAGAGTAAACGACAATCTTGCCCCTGGTTAAACGACTGGTTCATTGGTTTGAACTTGTATAGATATCATTTGTTACATTTATATTTCGGTTGTATACACTTAAATCAATCATTTATTTCAAACATTGACAGATATCAAATGTAGAATTCCTTATTGTGCACCTACAAAAGTCTATGTCCAATTTTACTTCCAAATACCGATGCAAACCTGCCATGAGAGTATAATGATGTACATTTGAAATTAACTAAATTTTATTTATTTTATCGAATATTTGAATATATTCTAATACTTTCATTGAATATTCGAATATGAATTATGGACAAAATTGACATCCCTAATTAATATATTATCTCAAACATGGATATCTCAGATACCATGGATTTATCACAGAAATGGATATCTCGAAGATCATGTCAAAGAAGGTTGGAAATCCCAGCAACTTTTTCTTTTGTATTTTAACCGCAATATCTCAAATGTTGAGTGATTTTTTTGTTCATTTAAGAATTACCAATGAACATATGTTCATGTTTCGATGCTGTCTTCCCTTTTCTAGTGTCCAGATAGCAGTACAATGAAAAGGTCCTTTCAACTGACAGAGATGGTAGAGGACCAGAACAAGTATCAGATGATGGACATGGCAGTACAGCCTCATTCTCAGTCACCTGTGTTACTGGGGCCCTCTGAAAGGTCAGTCTTAATCATCAGAAATCACTGCCTCACTCTCAGTCACCTGTGTTACTGGGGCCCTCTGAACTAAAAGGTCAGTCTTAATCATCAGAAATCACTGCCTCGCTCTCAGTCACCTGTGTTACTGGGGCCCTCTGAAAGGTCAGTCTTAATCATCAGAAATCACAACCTCACTCTCAGTCACCTGTGTTACTGGGGCCCTCTGAAAGGTCAGTCTTAATCATCAGAAATCACTGCCTCACTCTCAGTCACCTGTGTTACTGGGGCCCTCTGAAAGGTCAGTCTTAATCATATCAGAAATCACTGCCTCACTCTCAGTCACCTGTGTTACTGGGGCCCTCTGAAAGGTCAGTCTTAATCACCAGAAATCACTGCTTCACTCTCAGTCACCTGTGTTACTGGGGCCCTCTGAAAGGTCAGTCTAAATCACATCAGAAATCACTGCCTCACTCTCAGTCACCTATGTTACTGGGGCCCTCTGAAAGGTCAGTCTAAAACACATCAGAAATCATTGCCTTACTCTCAGTCACCTGTGTTACTGGGGCCCTCTGAAAGGTCAGTCTAAAACACATCAGAAATCACTGCCTCACAGACAGTCAATCACTTTAACAGAAACCTTAGAAAGCTCAGTCTAAATCACATCAAGATTGTAGCAGCTAGCCCAGCTGCTAAGTTAGATATCTAGGTTGTATTGAATGCATTGTATGAATTAATGCTTGTTATGGCTAGGCTAGCACATCGTTCAAGGTCGTAGTGGCTACGTAGACCTACATAGCCACTATGATCTTGAAAGCAGCCTAGAAATGACTGCCTCACAAGGCAGACACTTTCTTTATCTGAAGCCTTAGAAAGCTTAGCCTAAATCACATCAGAAATGACTGCCTGACACAAGGCAGACACTTGCTTTACTTTAGGCCTTAGAAAAGTCAGTCTAAAAGATGGTCATCAGAAATGACTGTTTCACACTGTAAGGCACTTTTCCTTCTTTAACCATCACAAAGAACAATCTAAAGAAAACATGTCATACCAGTTATCAGTGATTATTTAATGATAATTGATGTAAAAAACAAGATAATATTAAAAGTCATATTTATTCTCCAAGAAGAACAAAGGAATAAAAGTGTAGTTGATTTGATATAAGAAATTGATTGTCAATTGACATTTGATATACTTATATTTTATTGTATTAACTTAGTTTGTCATATTCATATTAAACTAATCTATATAATATTAACTTGAATTCAAAATTTATTTAACTTCTTCTAATATTCAATCTGCGTACTTCAGGTGGTCCCATGTGGTGGCAGACACTGTAGTAGGAAAGAAAGGAACCTACAATGTGATCTTTGTGGCCACCACTTCTGGTGTGATCCGTAAGATGTTAAATCTACCGACAGAGAAGGAACCTTGTCTGATAGAGGAAATCAAAGTAACTCCTAACGGAGATCATAAACCAGTCAAACAACTCAGAATCTCAAAAGAACATGTAAGTTATAGATAACCAAATTGGAGGACTCATGAACTGTCAGTAAGTCTCATTATATAGATCTCAGCCTCTTAGATAACTGCACCTCAGCATCAAACCAGCAAGTGTTCAACTTTATTCCTACAGGACATGAAAGTTGATCAATCAGATCAAACATCTGGATGTAAGACCCCAACTTAAAAAAAAATGATGAACTCCAAGAGTAAAGGTGTTTTAAGCAACAAACCATGCTCATTTGCTGGGATAACTTTCATGAAATATGGCTTTATTTTTCCAGAATGCCCTTTATGTGTTCACTTTAAAAAATGTGATGCGAATTCCATTATACCGGTGTTCCAGATTTTCCACAGAGAGGTAGGTCATAATATCTGAAAAAATAAATGATATTGCCTGAAATTATGTCAATTCATTTGACAAATACATGTTTCTTAGGTAGATTTACTTACTTTATTGAGTAATGAGGGGAAGGGGGGGATGCTCAAAATACATATAATTATCTGGAGAATAGACAACATTTTGATAAACTTTTGAAGTGACTTCTATTTCATTGACTTTGATTATAATTAAGTATTCTTTTCTCTTATTAGCCTCTGTCTGAATGCAATGGATCCCTACTGTGGATGGGATTCTGGGAAGGGCAAGTGTTCCCCAGCCCCCAATGGGGACCCCACTTTGTCCTTCTGGAAACAGGATGTGACATCATGTCCAGTACATAAGCACCCAGGTAAATTTAAACTTCCTTTTGTAATTGATTTGTGTTCTGAAAACATTTACTATATGTTACATGCAGATTGTATGTTGTGCTTTTGCATGAGTGGTTGGGGTGGATCTTTTTGTAGTTTTGCGTGGGTGGTTGGGTGGGTCTTTTTGTGGTTCTGCGTGGGTGGTTGGGGTGGGTCTTTTTGTGTGGGTGGTTGGGGTGGATCTTTTTGTGGTTTTGCGTGAGTGGTTGGGTGGGTCTTTTTTTGGTTTTGTGTGGATGGTTGGGATGGGTCTTTCTGTGTGGGTGGTTGGGTGGGTCTTTTTGTGGTTTTCATGGACTCTGTAGTGGAATTTGGGTTCAGGTGCTGCATTGGTTAGCACACTGGCTTCTCACCACTGGGATCTGAATTCGATCCCTTTGATCAGCAGTGGTTGTATGTGGGAGGGTAAGGCGGTACCTTGCTTGGACACCTAGGTTTTCTCCACGGGTACTCCAGTTTGCTCCCACAGAAATGACCCCCTCATGCCAACACCTGTGCAATAAAGTTTCTCATTGGAAATGGGCTTTCGAGCTTTTCAAGAGCTATCCTTGGTGTCATACATATTTATGTATGTACCAAATAAACAGTATCGTAAATATTATGAAGAGGTCAACATGGGTGAAATTAATAAGCTTTTTCATACTTCCTTAAAAAATTTCTTTTATAAAATATGTATCTATTTTATCAATGAAATCACCCCCCCCCCCCCCCATCTCTTCCAACAAAAAAATCTCAATATTCAAAAGCCCTCCAAAATTGTCAATCACAGAAGTAAATGAATCCTTGGTTATCTTTTGTATTGATTGTTTTAGTTGATGGACAGTGGTCAACTTGGTCACCTTGGACCTCTTGTAGCCAGTCTGGAAATAACCCCTCTTCTGGGAACTGTCTGTGTAGGTTAAGAAGCTGTGACAGTCCACCTGCTCTATATGGGGGTCAACCCTGTCAGGGGTCAGCTGTTGAAGTTGCCAATTGTACAAGTAAGTCATCTCCTACATGCAAAGACTTGTTAGGCAGTTTCATAAGTAATGAAGTCAAAAACTTGATTTGTGCTTAAAAATCATAATGAAACACTTATTTTGTTTTAAGATAAGTGTACAAATAACTGATTTATTTCTTTTCAGTACATGGCCAGTGGTCTGATTGGACGTCATGGTCCAAATGCTCTACAACTTGTGGCAGTGGTCAGCAGACCAGGTCAAGGTCATGTTCAAACCCACCGCCAATGAATGGAGGAGATGATTGCAAACCTCTATCAAAGGATGAGGAATTCAAAGCATCAGTTCGCCCCTTCTGTGTGGGCAATCCAGCCTGTCCTGGTAAGAGCAAATTATGGGCAACTTTGTGGCATCTTCACCACTTACATTTTCATGTGCACCACAAACTCTCTGAAGTACATGTTCTCTGTTTGATATCCTGGTTTCAAAGGCTAAAAGTTTTGGGGATTTTTTGTTTTTTAATAGAGATAAACTTCAATATCTTTAGATTTCATTACTTTTCTTTGTTTTGTATACAGTACATATATATTACAAAATAAAATAGTGTGCATGACTTTATATCATTTACTGCAGTTTAAATTTTAAAATGTATTTTAATGAGCTATTTTGTTGATGATAATTTACTTATAGAACCACCTGTGGCTGGGAACTGGTCAGTATGGACACCATGGTCAGATTGTACAGCTAAATGTAACGGGGGAATTCAGAACCGACGTAGGACCTGCACAAATCCTCTACCACAGAGAGGTGGTCTCCCTTGTGCAGGGAACACTAACGAGTGGCGCATGTGCAATAGCTACAAATGTAAAGGCAAGTCAGATTTTTTTTAATTAATCATACTACTCCATTATTGGTATAGCCATTAAAAAGATACTGGAATCACTTCTTTTGTCCATCTGTCTGTCTATTCATCAGTCTATAGGTGTAAGGTTAAACTCTACATTTAGACCACTATCTGGCTACTCTCAAGGGGTTATCCAAATCAAATTTGCAAATATGGTGCATTTCAAGATGATTAATGAGATGCATCTTTTGATTGTTCCCCACTGTGGGACAACTTAATTTGACATACTATGGGTTTTTTTTCGCCACTAATGTATAATATGCAAGATACTTCATTTGGTGTGTGTGGATGGCTTTTCTGTATATTCAATTAACAAGCTTGTAAAAGGTAATCAGTTTGTTTACAAATTTAATACTGTAAAACATGTTTATAATGCATTCATGCTTACAGTAGGTGATTTTCATGAACTTATTGGATAAATTAAATTAAGTTTTTAAGAATCGATAAACTAAAATTGTTTGTTTGTGGCACTTTGCTGAAAACCAATTTGGCTAGTTTTAATATAATAGAAATGCATTGTATTTTTCTTGTTTAGCTAGTTTGATCTATGGAGTAAATGGAAAGAACTGCAAAAGGCAGGGCCTGGATACATGAACTATATCTTTTCTGTTACAGATCAGCAAAAGCTTACCCGGTGGACACCATGGTCTAACATTAACCAGACTGTCAGTGGTCATTGGGAACAGAGGTATCGATTTGTCTGCACAGCGAGTGTCCCAGATCCGAATCTCATCCGGTCCAGCCATATCAAAACTCACACTCGCTTCTGTCTGAAATCAGACAGCTCATGTTACAGACCAGGTGAGATACCCAATGAAATTGACACAAAATCCCCGCTAGATCGGGCAGTACGAAAGTTCTGCAAACACAGACGTAAACTCTTCAACAAATTCTGCAACTGTCGGACGTTAGGAGTGTTCCTTATATGTACTAGGTGTTCAAAATATGGATGACCCATGGTGAAAATTTAAATCTAGGGTATGTTTTAATGGTCTAGACTCTGAAGGAGCGGACCTCAGATAATATGTCTCACTGCCAGGATCAAATGAATTGTCCCATATTTTCGTAATTTTAAACCACGGAAATGAAACCAGTGACCTTATACTAACAACGTTCAATAGAAGTAGTATTAGTGTTTGTGTGTGTTTGTGATTTGAGAATCATTCTTGAAATGGAGATGTATGCAGAAGAGTCCATAGGCATGATAATTCTAACAATGGTAGAGACAGCATTTGTGATGGTTGATTCATTCACTAACTTTTGCTCAGGATAAATTACACCAAGAAGAACAGAACTTAATCAACTACAGCAAATGATTTACTTTGAAATCTTTTTTTTTTTTCATTTTCATTTTTGATAGAATTGCAAAACAATGGAACAAAGAATTTTATTTTATCACATGTATATAATAATGTACAGTTAAGAAAAATATCAAGAAGTCCAAGATGGAACAAATAAACAATTAAAAAGGGTTTAAAATTGTAATTCTTTTGTGTGTTGCATGGTCATGTAATCCATAACATATTGTAGAAATCTCATTTTCATTAATAATTTATGTAATGTTCATAAGTGGTAATTTCTGAGTGTGCAATATTTTGTGCTGAATTAAGGTTTAAATCATTTTTATTTGAAATATATTGAGGCTAAAAATTAAAACTTCATGGATTCCTAGCTTTTTATAGTACATTGTACAGTAGGGAACCCCCCCCCCCCCCAACACCTAATAGGCATTAGAAATTGCCACTTGTACAGAAATTACCACTCCTCCTCATCATTATAATGAATGTATGTGCTGTTAAAGTGTGTCCTCTATATGTATATTTAACTACAAGGCAAGAATCATTTCTTCTTTTGTTTTTAGAATTCCACAGTGCAATATTCACATCATTAAAAAGGCACAGAAATGTGCTGTCACCTGATTAAGTGTTGCCATACTGTTAGTATTTTTGTACAGAGCCTGTTGTTATTATGTAGATATTTTGTTATTTATTTCAGTTTTGTTATATTCTCATTGATATTGGATTATATTTGTATTATTTTACATATTTTAGATTTATTTTGTTTTGTAACACAAAGTGCCTGATTTTTGTCACACTAAGTTTCTTTAAGCTTGTACATGGTACTCATTTTTCTCTCTCCGTTTATTGCTATTCACTTCAAACTGATTTTCCAAACTTTTTAAAAGTTTTTAATAGTTGTTGTACATGTATGTATATGTTTATATTAATGTCTTGTTGGATATGAATAGTATCACTGCTGTCACCTTATATTTTTGGCAAATTCAACATTCTTCATAACATTAGTGCTAATTTACTTGAGAAGGAGATGAACACCAATGTTTCTTTTAATATTTTTTATGATAGTGTGAATTAAGAACACACTCCAGACAATCAGAAGAGATTTTATTGTACTCAGCAGCTTCTCTAAGGTTATTTTACATTAAAAGTGAAATTTTAATTTATATCTATAACAGGACTTACATGTAGACAATGTAATACATCACCTCACTGAAATCTTACCTTCCCAGGATAATAAAATTCTTGTAAACAATGAAATATTTTCCTCACAGTCTTAATAAATTTAAAAATATTTGGGAACAAAATATTCAACATGTATTAAATGTACATGTATTAAATCCCTGATTGAAGCCAAAAAATGGTACAGAATCTGAAATTTTAAAACCATGTTATTTCTGGATTTGAATTAGTGTTAAGGATTACTACATAACAACTCTACAGAAATGACAATCAGTGCTGTGTGTTAGTCACTTTATTATGCCTTCCTTTATCCATTATCTATCTACAAATATTTATCACATATATACCATAGAATTTTTGTTTATATTGATATATTGTGACTCTTAGAAGCCTTAGATGTTCCATGTCACAAAAAGCTTCTGAAAAAAATGTGTTGAAATGTAAACAAATCTTGGTGTTTTTCCCTGAGAATGACTGAAAATGAGATTTTTTTTCACATGCCAGTACAGAAAAAAGGAGAAAATTCAATAAAATATGAAATTTTGTGCATATTGTTCTTATTTTTATTGCTATTGAATTGCATGAAAACTTTTTTTCTTATGTTTCTGCTTATATATTGCACTTGTATTATTCACTCTGCACAGTAGAGTCTGCCTCAGATAGAAAGTAGAAACCAAATTACTTTAGTCATTCACAAGTTAATTAATGGCTACATCAGGGTGTGTAAAGGGGGGATATTAAGTCTGTCTGTCTGTCTGTCATTCTATCTGTATGTACACTAGTTTCCAGATGATATCTCACAAATTCTTTTGAACTTTTGGCAATAAAATTTTATAACCTCGGATGACCTTAAGAAGCCCTCTATTGATTTTAAGGTCAAAGGTCAAGGTCAGAAATTTGTATATTGCATAAAATGATTTCCGGGTGATAATCCGGTTCTTTTTGGGCTTATGCAATAAAAGTAAAGGTGACAACTCTCTCTCTAACGTTATAAAGATCAAAAGATGAAAGGTCAAGGTCAATCTTCCTTAAGATGGCGGCATAAAGATAAAAAATCCTTAGACTGGAAATAAACTCACACTCTCCGTTTATTGACTAGAGACACGTCATACCCTCTTCCTGCATATATTTCAAAACTCATCTATACTTCACTGTTCCCTAAAGCTTCTCCTAGAAAATGATATTGAACTTTTCAAAATTTTTGCAGTGATTTCTGTTCTGTTTAGGACGTAGAATGTAAATTTGGTCGGATTGCGAAATACTTGTATACATGTTCATTGAAACGAAACATTGATTGTTTTCATAATTTACCTGCTCATTAAGTATTGAGCAGAAACATGCTCCTCGATTTAACATCTTCCCAAGTCGAGGGTTTCTGATCCACTCCGCTCCACATAAACAGTCTATTCGGTCAAGGGTTTTTGTGGAGGCGAGTGGATCAGAAACCCCCGACTTGGGAAGATGCGATTTGAAGGTTAATGTGAAGGATGAGTTACCAGTTATAGAAGGTAACTAATACAAATCTCATGTCCGCAAATCATCATTCTCCAAGGTCAAAGATCAATATCCCAAAATCAAAGGTTAAGTCTGATGGCAGATTTGATAGCATTGATCTTTATATTTACTTTATGTTACATACAAAATGATAATCAGATGAAGTTATCCACGGCAGAGTTTAATGTACTTAATTTATCAATAATGCCAAGGCAAACTCCAATTACTGCTGGTGTAAATAAATCATTTCTTCCTTCTTTAACTATGCTAAAGTAAGATGAGATAAGCAAATCAGGTCATCTTCAAAAAAATATGATTTTTTTAACTTCAAGGTCAAAGATTAAAGTAACCTGTCGAAACTTCTCATCTTACTTTCATTTACTTATGTATGATGCTAAAAGCTGATGCTTATATGGATCACCCTCATAATACAATGTAGATAGCTTCAATTATTATAAATAGAGTGATTTTAGAAAGTCATCCTCAGCAACGATAAATATTCTTCATTCACTAATATCAAGGTCAAAGGTTAACTCCAATTGTTGACATTGACCTTAGTTTGAAGACTGAAGTATGCACAAGTCACCCAACAGAGAATATGCCAAATTGTTAGCACACAAGGACAGATATAGACACCATTAATTAATCCATAGACTCATAGTCTCTGTTTTGTTTCACACTCTGAACGGCTAAAAATTAGGTTTATGGACATTTAGAGTGTGCCGACCAAAGACCTATAGGTTCCTGATTTAGCCTAAGCTTAAGAATATAGAAAAAGTAGCGTTTGAACTTTAATATATTATTAAAAGTGTGTGAATTCTATTATTCTATATTATTGTTGTACTAGCCGTTTCTGGTGATTATATACAGGTTAAGAATCTCATTGCACAAGTTAACATTCATGCATCGGATATCTCAAATTATTCAAACCTGTAAGCATTACACAAGTGACATTGCTTTGAATAATAATAATAATAATTGGTTTACATAACTCAATGTACCTTCCCAAACCAACGACAGATAAATTAGAATTTAACTCTTCGGTGGACGGTGATTGGTCAACCTGGAGCACGTGGTCAGGCTGCAGTGCCGACTGTGGGACAGGGATGCAATGGAGGGCAAGGTCATGTGATAATCCTGAGCCAATAGGATTTGGACAAGATTGCCAAGGTCTTTCCTCCGAATTCAAAACTTGCAACGATCAAGAGTGCATTGGTAAAAAAAATTGTATACATATAAATAAAATAGACTTCTCAAATTGTTTTAAAATGCAGTAGGCAGGATGGTGCAGCTTTTATCACGCAATAGTAAAAAAAATACTTTAGATTTGTTTATAGTAATGCAATTTTCTAGACATTGCAAAGTGCCATCATAATTTTATTCGATAAAAATATTGTACATAAATAAAAAATCTCTTTCAATTTTGAATCGTAGCTGCATGGGGTTCTTGGTCGGACTACTCGGTGTGTTCTGTGACGTGTGGACAAGGGTCACAGACCCGTTTCCGGTCCTGTAGTTTCCCTCAAGCTGGATTCAACGGCAGCGTTGATGTCACCTGTGTTGGAATCAGTGAGGAATCTGTGCCCTGTTTTCAACCAGTCTGTAATGGTAGGGGTTTGTTTTGACGAAGAATCATCTAGGGATTTTAAAAACTGAATCAAAACTAAGCGTGGTCACTTTAATTGTATTTTATGCATGCTGTGATGTAGACTTTAGCAGACTTTAATTTTTTTTTTTTTTTTTGCTCTCCCCGATTAATGAATGAAAATGAAAATGAAATTTTTACAGGGTGGGTTTTGAAACCTTTGAATGAACGACATTAACACCGCTTGGTTGGCACTGATATTCTTCGGAAGAGAAAGTGCCTTTCAAATTCATTGAACTTACTCTTGTGCAAGCCACTTAAATATATGGTTAGAACACCTAAAATGTAATGTAAGGGTCCCGAATTCGATTCCCAATCCAGCCATAATTTTCTGCTTTCTTGTTAAATTTAGCGCCACTGACCGACCCTTGACTTGAAGGTAAAACTCCTGTAGGGGCTAAAGATTCTGGGCTGTGCGTCTTCGAGAACAAAACCAATTTGAGCAGAAAGGAATGTATAGTAATGGCTTGGGCTATATAAACCGTACATATAGGCCTGGATAGCAGCGGTTATAGCACCTGATTAGAAATGCAGGGGTCCTGGGTTCGATTCCCAATCAAGCCCTCCCGGGTTCAATTCCAAGTCCAGTCGTAAATTTCCCCCTGTACATGTATTATTTCAGTACACTATGTATATTTTTCCACAGATACTGGACTTTGGGACCAATGGTCTTACTGGTCAGAATGTAACTCAGACAGCATACAGTTCCGACATAGAACATGTCGTGAACACTTGCCAGATATATGTCGAGGTTCAAGCGTTCAAGCGCAGAAATGTTTTTATTTGGGTGAAGGTAAAATGGCATTCTCGAGTCGAAATCTTTATGCACAAAATGCATTTTTTTTTTTTTTTTGGAAACAGTTATTTTTTTACATATGAGTACATGTATACATGTATTTAATAAATTATATTTTACGTAAACATTCATAAAATTGTTTTTAACCTGTAATTTCCGAAGTTCCCCTTGCCTCATTTGATTATTTTATTGTATTGTAGGGAGGGCGTTGAAGTACACCTCCATGGGTTACAGACGTGATTACACGCTGATTCATTTGACAGTGATCGGGTGTGCAGCCTTTTTCATGGGGGTAGTAATTTGCGTTGGGATCTACATCTGCTTCCACAACTGGAAGAGTATCAGAAGCTACGACATACAGAAACCCGCCAAAGGACACGTGTACGATAAGCCCCGATTTGGATCCTTTGCATCCCAACTCAGTTTGGATTTCTTAACAGTCAACAATAAAATCTATGATTCATGTACCCTTTCATCACGTGGTACAGCGGTGGTCAAAGATAGTACATTTAAAAAGGATAAATATAGAAATTTTTCAGATAATATGTATGCAACAATACGGACTAATTATTCATTAAGGACGGAAGTTTAGTTTATGTGTTACATTAAAAGTAAAAAAAAATTATTAGTTATTAAACTTATCTAAAACAATCTTGCTATAGATAAGTTTAAGATTATAATTTTTAAAACTTTTAATGTATCACATGTATTTGAAAGCATTCACCAAAAGACATAAATAACGTATGTCCTTGGTATCTAGCACTGTGTTTCTTCGCTACATAAGAAACTTTGAAGAAGGTGCGTTTGGCACAAGAAATTCAGAATCCAACACAAAGGTCATATGTATTCTACGTTACACAGAGAAAAATGGCCGTGTGATGATCGGATATTATGGATAGTTCAAGATACAATTTCTCTCATCAAAACTAGAGATGAAGTAATTAAAGACATTTTGCTAGTTACAGATGTACTATATAACCTTTTAAAATTATATTGTAAATGGCTAGTGCTATGAAGAATATTCTATTGGTGATCAAATTTGTTTATATATTGTACATGCATTCTATTTATTTAAAAAATAATTTTTTGGAGTACTTTTCGTAATATATTGTAATTGATCATTTGTTATCATCAGTCATTGTTAAATACTTATCTCATCATTCTTAGATCATATGAGCAGAGAACTCAATTATTTTTTTCTTTTCTGATCAAAGTTTTTTTTCCTGCCGTTTGTGCTACCTCAGTTCACTTAACCACTGCATGATTTCAATCATTCTCAGCACACACTAACTACATGTATTTAAAGGGAATTTGAAGGAGGTGAGGGTGGAGCAACAATAATCCAAATTTTACATACATCAGGAAAGTAACAAGGTCACAAAATAAGTGAAGTAGATTCAAGCTTTATCAAATTAGACCCCTAAGTTCTTTAGAGGGAGCAGTAGCATGGAGCAGATTAAATAAACAGCATTAATATGTTTTTAAGAATAATTAAGGACCTCTTTTCAAATTGACAAGGTTGATGTAAATTCAAGGCTCTTTAGCCAATATCGAGTCTCAATATAAGTCCAAGATTTTACTGAGAAAATGCTCTTAAATTTTTTTTATTTCAATACAATATGCAATCAAGTAAAACAGGTTAAGATTTATTTACGTATCCTTGGGTCTGTTTGGTGATAGCTTTTCTATTGCAAGTATTCCCAGTTGCCCTAAAAATGTAGCTATATTTATGGTTCAATCCGCATTTCATACAGGCTGATTAGTTGCTTACAAAACAGAAGCATTTTCCAGAATGAATACTAGTACATGGTCGAAATACGGTAAAACTTGATATTAAAGAACTCATTTACAAGGAATATAAGGAAACTTTCGTGAATTCTGTGGACTTTACACTATCTCAGTGTGTTCCTTACATGTATACAGATACACTATATAAGGAATCTTGGTTATAAGAAGTCCCTATAAGCGAGTTTTACTGTATCAGATTTGGTGTAAAAGTTCTACCGCTGTTTCCGTCACCCTGTTTTTACCCTACATTTAGAGCCATTAGGCTAATTAATGACAAATCTAAATGCTTTACTGAGTAGTAGATTGATATAAATTCCGATATGGCTATCAAATTTGCAACCAGTATTCGGTCTGGATGATTGTAGTATGCGAGTGTTTGGTCAATGTTAGTTTATAAATAATACATTTTTGAGGTTTGAGAGCTTGTATAAATATATATTAACCAGGTGAGTGTTGTGGCTTAAATTGACTTGTTAGAATTACTCGTTTAAAAGTTATTGTTTTAATTGTTGAGCAGCTGTTTGTGAGAATAATTATTTACTGAAAGATTCTTAACTCATCCTTTTAAACAACAATTACTCTCTACCTCTAAGAGCAATTTTTGAAAATGTGACCTGATATGAGTATCCCAATACGCTCACTCCTGTTCTGTTTTCATAATTAACAGAATAAATACACTACACAAAATTCCTACCATTCAATATTTTCATCTATAAAAAAAAATTGCCTCATCGACACGAATAAATCTGAATATGCCAATTTGAACAAGCAGTCGATCCAATGGACTTCTTGTCTGCGAACCAACCAATCTGTGCACTGATATAAAGTTTGTAGTTACCGTTGGTGGTCAGTGCGGTTGTAACAGGAGTGGTGTCCATTTCTCTCAATTGATTTAGAGCAACATGTCTACTATATCGCTTAGCTTTGGCTTCCACACTTCCGGTTGCCACAAATTTGCGGTACAATCTTGCAATTGTTCGTGTGATGTCTATTGAATACCATGGCTATTTGACTATTTATAGAAGACATTTTATATTTGTTACTCTTATCACAGCACAGGAAGATACAAAAATTTTTTAATTGTTTTCTTTTCTTTCTTTTTTTTTGGTCAAACTTCTCTATAAAAACTCACTGTTCAAATACACCATACTCACTGTCCTACTACGGTTTTCTACGGTCTAATGCTGCATAAAATGATATTCACGAAATTTTCCTTATAAGCTTATTCGGCTGAAACCATATGATTAGGAAAATACAGATTCCCAGAATTATCGTGTTCCTAGGCATGTTTCCTGAAATGACCCAGACTTTTAATTAAATGTGTGTTCATGTGGTTAAACAAGAAAGTTGCGAATATTTTACACGATTTACAAGTAACCATCTCGGGCAAAATAGGAAGAAACCGTAAGTTTTGTTTTAGTCAATATAAAATTCTAATTTTGTTAGTGAAATAAACATTTTATCATTTCACATATTGTCTGTAGTTTGTTCAGTTTCACAGTTGTATTCTTTTGGAGTTACTTTAATAAAGTTTTCGGTATATGCAGGGAAATGTAATATACAAATTTGTGAATCCACAAGACATTCGTAGTGTAAAGTATAGGGCTGTATCAATATATCGATACGTATCGATATTCAAGAATGTATCGTATCGAAAAAAATAACTTCCAATACGTATCGGGCAGGCAGTTTTTCTTATATTTCTGTGAAAATTTTGGGAATTTCAATCACCAAAGATTATATTTAATCGTTTTAAATTAAAACTGATCAATAATGATATAAGCATCAAGGAGATAGCACATAATAAATAAGTATCACAAAATACATGGACGACTATATTTTAACATGCTGGTTTTACAGTCATTAAAAAGTTTGAATTTGAAGTGTATTTTGTAATGACAGTGAGACAAGAACTTAGAAATGGATAATAAAACACTGAGTTTTTATAAAATCTATACATTAAATGATTTACAAGACTTTTTTGATAGATTTGTTAAAGAATCCAATATATAGCATATCGCTTTAGAAAATATCGTATCGTATTGTATCGAAATTTTTTGCTCAATATACAGCCCTAGTAAAGCATTTGGATTTGTTCAACGCGTATGTTCAATACGTACGAAAGCCGGATAGGTTCATTTTTGACAAGACAAAAAAAAATATTTAACTCGTTATAACGAGATAATTATCTCGTAATAACGAGTTAGTATCTCGTTATAACGAGTTAGTATCTCGTTATAACAAGTTAATATCTCGTTATAACGAGTTAGTTATCTCGTTATAACGAGATAATTATCTCGTTATAACGAGTTAGTTATCTCGTTATAACGAGTTAGTATCTTGTTATAACGAGTTAGTTATCTCGTTATAACGAGATAATTATCTCGTTATAACGAGTTAGTTATCTCGTTATAACGAGTTAGTATCTCGTTATAACGAGTTAGTTATCTCGTTATAACGAATTAGTTATCTCGTTATAACGAGTTAGTATCTCGTTATAACGAGTTAGTTTCTCGTTATAACGAGTTAGTTATCTCGTTATGACGAGTTAGTTATCTCGTTATAACGAGATAATTATCTCGTTATAACGAGTTAGTTATCTCGTTATAACGAGTTAGTATCTCGTTATAACGAGTTAGTTATCTCGTTATAACGAGATAATTATCTCGTTATAACGAGTTAGTTATCTCGTTATAACGAGATAATTATCTCGTTATAACGAGATAAAAATTGATCTAGTTTAAGAATTGATATATCTAAGTAAAGAATAGACCATTATTTATAGGAAATATACAAAAGCAAGTCGATCAAATTTGTTTGAAGTGTGCGTGATAAAGATTTTATGGAACAGCATACTAGTTTTTTTGTGTTATGCCTTTGATTAGTATTGTTTATTGGAATGACCGAAGACAAATATACGGAAACGTGACCGCCTCATGTTGTTGTGTTATACCTTAAAATTGCAAAATAGAATTAGTGTCATCTTCAAATGGAATGTATATAACATCAAAATTTTGTCAACTTGTACAAGGAGATCAGAAAAAAAATGATATACTCTGGCTGATTTAACTGCCCTGTTCAAGCTTTCTTGAATTTGTTAAAATTATAATAATGTTTGCGTAATATTTGTCGCAATAATAATCCCATTATTTTGAATATTCCGAATAAATCATGTGGATATGAAACCATTTGTTAGGCTTTAATAGCGATTCTCTGTAACCACTTAAACTTCTTTGCCACGCATGGTCACCGATTTTGATGAAACTTTGCCCATTATTACAACTTGACACCAGAAACATATATCAAATAAAATTTCGTTGCTATGTGTCTTGGTTGCCATGGTAACAGCCAGAACAGTTGGAAAAAATGAGATTTTCAGCTACTTTAAATCTTTATTAAGCCTTAATAAAGACTAAGAAAAACAAACAAACCATTCTCCCAAAAACATGACAACTTGTTGCCACTTATGCTATAAAGAAACTATTTAGAATTTATCTCTATGTAAGTGGTAACCATGGGTACATTTGGAATACATTTTAGATGCTGAAAAATGCTGAAAAACGCTCCATAGTCACAAATGATAGATGTTACATGATCAAACTCAATCAACAACGTAAGAAAAACAAATATTTGACCTCATGTAATTAGGTACTGGCAATATTATTCTAAAAATAACTTTCATGGTTACCATGGTAACACATAATATTTTTTTGCTTCACCATTCCTCATTATAGTGGACAATATGCATAAGCTAAGTCACGAAGTTCAAGGGGGGGGGGGGAGGGGGGTAAACCAAGTAAAATATTTGACAAGTAAAAGAAAAAAAAATAGATTTGATATTCCAACTACGAGTATTCGCCATTATTTTCGGGAGATATTTACTCAGGTAAAAAAAAATATGGATGAAGGGGCACAAAGATACTCTTGACCGCCCCCTTTTCAAAAGTGGTGGTGTGGACATTAGCCCCTCTATTACTACGCCTATGATCTAACTGCTGATGTCTCACCATCCCCCGTCTTCAAAACATTTCTGAATCTCAGAAGTAACATTTGTATAACACTGTAATCTATATATTATATGTTGCATAAACGATATGTTGCACTTATATTGTCTCTGATATTTAATTTTAGCGGTATAGAAATTGATATATGAAAGTGTATACCGGTAAGTCGTCCAAAATATATCGAAATAGTGTCATTCATCAGAAATAGTTGTCATAGATAAATTGCCAAAGTTTGAAGCAAGTATGTTTGGCAATATTATTTTAAGAAAAATATCGCGTCCTAATGCAACAATTTGAGGAGGAGTTCACGAAAATGTGTAAATGTGTTCGCCTTAGAGTTGCTCTGATTATTGACAGCGAGATAGTTCAAGATTTAATCATAAGTAAACCCCAGAGCAAATTAAATTTTCAACCATTTATCAATTCTTCCAAGTTAAATTTGACTGATAATTACTTGCTAAAAATTCAATGGCATTTAAAACTGCAGCCATTTTTATTCCTATATTGCTATTAAGTCTCGAAATAACAAGAAAACTGTCTCGTTATAACGACATAACTAACTCGTTATAACGAGATAATTATCTCGTTATAACGAGATAACTAACTCGTTATAACGAGATACTAACTCGTTATAACGAGATATTATCTCGTTATAACGAGATAACTAACTCGTTATAACGAGATAACTAACTCGTTATAACGAGATACAAACTCGTTATAACGCGATAATTATCTCGTTATAATGAGATACTAACTCGTTATAACGAGATAACTAACTCGTTATAACGAGATACTAACTCGTTATAACGAGAAAACTATCTCGTTATAACGAGTTAATTATTTTTTTATCTTGTCAAAAATGAGCCTATCCGGCTTTCGTAAATACGCACAACGTATCAAAATGATAAAAAAAAATATTGAACACTCACAAATACATAAACTACATCACACTTCAAATTATCACTGATTGCTACTCACAAAGAATAATGTTAGAAACTGTAGCACCGAGAGGAAACATAAATTATAAGGTTATCTGGCTTAAGAGAGCAGTAGTGGCTCCCTTTTTCACAGTAAAAGGGACAACGCTATAAAAAAAAAGTACGGTACAGTCCAGAAACTTGATTTTGATCTTTTCATGGTAAAGTTTAGTGGTGATCTCAAATGTATAGCGAGTGAAAAAAAAATGAGTTGCGTGTTCACCCACATATGGACATAAAAACCCCAGATCGCTTCCTCTAAGGGACTGATCCTTGTTGGAATTTCCTCTTGACTGCTTGCCAAGTAACAAAACCTAGTACAAATATTCATATAGTATTATGTTTGTTTGTTTTTTTTTTACTTTTCAAAGCAACTGGAACAGCCCACAGTTACAAACTGGCATCTGCTTAATACTTTCTTCATGTCATTTCTTAAAATATGGTAATAATATTCCTCAAATTGTTCTAGAAGAAGGCTTGTAATTCTTCAGAGCAGTTAGTTCTTCACCAGAACAAATGATAAGGATGATCTGACACAATTCTAATTTTCTACATTCTGCCTTTCAGATTCTTTAGCAATTTGCTCCACAAGTATATCAGTGTGTTTGTAGTGATAAAAAAAGCCAGGCATTTTGATAAGCTAAAATGTTTTTAAGGAGGTTCGATCCTGAGCTTTTGAACAGATTTTGGTCTGGACCTTTATTTATAAAATTCTGCATCATTTTTAAGTTCAAACATTAAATCTGAATTCTACAATGCAAATTATACTAAATCCAATGAAAAAACCGCGATTAAATTCCATTCAAAGAGGATTAAGCCAGGAACTATATTTTGTGGCGGAAGGTTTTTTAGGAGAAAATGATCATTTTGTCCCCTTTTGAAATATGCACAGTACTGTTAAGTTTAGATTCATATTTTTCCACGCTGGTTGCACACAGAGCTGTTTTTTGCAGTGAAATCTTTTATTCTGGTTCTGAAATATCTATTAAATTATTTCTTATGAATTCTTTCATTATTTTGTGACAAATATAGTAAATATATTCTGAAACTCCAGGAATAAATTTAGCCAATTTTAACATAAAATTAACATCTTTTTAGTAATATCTAAAAATTTACATCATAGACCCCCACTTTTGTTTTTATTTTCTGAATATATAAGATAACGCTGATCAATCTGCCTAAATTCAGAAAAAGTTTAAGACTTTAAAATAATTTTATTGCTTGTTAAATTTTTAATGCCAGAAAAATCACATTTTTTGAGTGCAGAAAGGTCAAATAATTGATTATGCGAAGCAATTTGAAACTTTTTCTTAGTCACAATTTTGAAGTGTCTTTTTTTTAAATAGACTAATAGTTTAATTTGTCCCATGATTTATTTGGATAAAAACATTGGAGGGAAAACGTCGAAGATGTGAGTTTTGATTAGGACACAAATTTCAGTGCAAAAAGGTCATATTAAATGTACTGTAGCGCCAAAAGAAGCGTATTGACCCCCATTTTTTGTTTTGATTTTTAATTAAGCTATGTGTGTAGAAACTAAAAATATACTTGTCAAAAAAAATTTAAGACTTTAAATATCAGGATCCAGCCTCGTTAAATTTCTTCTTACATACTTTTTTGTCAAGCCCTCTATTTTTAGAAAAATGTTCTTTTCTTATGTCACTGTTCTGTCCCCTAGTCCTGTTATAGTCTATAGTCCTTTTGACTGAGCATTGTATTATCTGTATGGCCTATATATAGTCCTTTTGACTGAGCATTGTATTATCTGTATGGCCTATATATAGTCCTTTTGACTGAGCATTGTATTATTTGTATGGTCTATAGTCCTTTTGACTGAGCATTGTATTATTTGTATGGTCTATAGTCCTTTTGACTGAGCATTTTTTAAATCTGTATAGCCTATAGTCCTTTTGACTGAGCATTGTATTATCTTTAGGATCTATATAATACTTTTGAATCGATCAGCATTGCTTGGCCTATGACTATATATATAGTCCTTTTGACTCAGAGCATTGTATTATCTGTATGTTAGTCCTTTTGACTCAGAGCATTGTATTATCTGTATGTTCTATATAGTCCTTTTGAATCAGCATTGCTTAGCCTATGACTATATATAGTCCTTTTGTCTTAGCATTGCATTATCTGTTTTGTCCTTCTTTGATTAAGGATGCTTACAAATACATTGTGCAGTATAAAAGAGTTCTAATTCTGTGGTATCTTTGTATGCATTTAAAGTTACTAAGTATCTGCCCATAGATCCAAAATAGAGTAAGTTGAAAATCTTCATTATATTACTCAGTTTAATCAATTGAAGCATTCTTTATATTTAATTAAGCTAGGCTAAACTACCAGTATTTGAACATATAATTTGCATTTGTTTTCTCCATTTAATTAAACAACATTAATTTCTGTCCATAAATACTTGGTGGTCTTTGAACATTTTTCCTGGGGATAAATGGCTGATACCTATGTTGAAAATGAATTTGATATAACCTCAATATTTACACCTTTATATAATTTTCTCAATGTCTAAAAAACATTTTTCATCAGTATATACAGGGTTTCATCAGTGTATAGCAGCTTTGATCAGAGTATAGAGGCTTTCATCAGTGTATATATAATTAAGGTTTTCATCAGTGTATAGAGGCTTTTAAAAAGTTTGGAAGAACAAGATTCTTATGGATATCCAAAATCCCCTCTGAATGAACAAAAAGCTGGATTTCATTGCAGTGAATTTATTTGACTGCCACTTAAAAAAATAATTCTGCATTTCATGCACTCCACCATATGAACAATAATGTGAAATAATGACTGAAAGCATTTAATATTGAAATTACATTTGACTGGTAAAATGATACAAACAATAATAACAATATAACATGCAGAATTCTTGTGCAAGTGTATTACATTACAATGACTTTTTTGAAAAAAAGTTAAGTATTTAGTTGAATTGAAGTAGTCAGCAGAGTCCACAGTTGCATATGTTAAGCTTCACATTACATAACTCTGATAACACACTCTAGTGTACAAGAATTCCAATATACATGTACCAGGTATATATTGCAAAGCTCTGCAAAATGGAATAGCATTTTAAGTATAGTTTCACCTATTTTACAATAAAAAATACCCCTCACAAGTATAATTAACTAAACTCATAGAGTAATAGTTATTTTGTTATTCTTGGACTCAGGATAAATTCATACAAAAATATAATATCTAAATTAAAAATTCAAGCAGTCTTTGAGTCGATCTCCTACATGAATGAGTATATACATGTTCATAATGATGACCTTTGGTAAACTAAGTATATTTGCAGTTATGTATTTCGATGTTATTTACACCTGAATTCACACATAAAAACACCAAGGTGATAAAGGACTAGGTAAATAGTAGAATATATCACATCAATGCTCTGATTGGCACACTCCCATCATGAACTCTGATTCAAGGGGTCAAAGTCAGCCAATGAGAAGTCTTCTGTTCCAAAGGACAAGCCAGCACTAAATCCCACCTAAAAGTATGATACAGCAGTATTAAAAGGTTTAAACTCATTAATCAGTATTCCTCACCATTATCTAGAATAATATTAAAGACATGAAAAATATTTTTCATTATGCATGTACTTCATATAAGAACAAGTAAGGTATGAAATCTGTATCTTACTTGCATATCCATCAGCTCCCTTTCACTACTGCTCACTGTGCTGGTTTGAGGGGTGGATCCAGGTCCTGTAGGGGTAAATGCTGTCATACCAAATGGGTCCACATCTGACTTGGAAGATCCTGGGGAGGAAAAGGGGTTCACTGACCCTGTTCAAGACAAGGTCATTTAAGAAATAGAAATATATTTGTGTGGAAAATAAAAAGCTGGTCTTACTATAAAATAGTCATCTTTGAGAAAAAAAACTATAGTGAACTATTATTGAATAAATCATTAAAATTGATAATGAATTTTGAATATCTGTCTGTATCTAAGAAGACAATATGTAGATGATAACCCATCTTAACCAACATTCTGTCCAAGATTAATTAGAACTACTTTATTGAAATACCTGACGTATTAGCAGGTGATTGTTGAAAATGTGACCTAGAACTTCTCGGAGGTGGAGACACTAAAAAGAAAATCAGATTAATCCAATAAAATACAGTATATATAGCAAATTTTACACAGGATATAAGAAATATGAAAATAAATAACAAGCAAATTATGTGTAATGTACAGGACTAAATCTTGAGACAAATTATTGTACATAAAATTGTTAATAATAAAACACAATGATTTAACAATGTCAGAGATCTCTCTTAGAAGGGGGTCATTCCTTTTGGCAAAAATAACTTGGACAGAAATGTTAATGTATATAAAGGCCTTTACAGAGTAATTATATTTACATCAGTTAACATGCAAAGGTCTTTTCATATGCATATATACCTTATTCATGAAAATTTTCAACCCCTTTAATTTTACCACCTTTGCTCTTGTCATCAGTGAGGGAGGGGTATTCAACAGAGAAAGAATTATGCATCTTTAACAACAACTATGTCTGGGTGAACTAAAATCTAGTTTTTTTGTGTAATGGGGCAAAAATTACATGTATTTGGAGTGAAAATTATCCTGTATACAGTACATGGGCATTTGCCAATCAATATTATTCCTGAAAATACATAAAAAAGCATTTGCCAAATTGTTTCATTCCTGTTGGTAAACTTTTTTTTGCATTTACCAGATTTTTAAGTATATACATACAGAGGCCCTTGCCAGGGGAAACAGGCATGGATCCATTGCTGGTGGAGGAACCATTTGTCTGAGCGGGTTTGTCCAAAATTAAGTTCTCCAGTCTAGTTCCCACTGAAGGCTGTGGAGCAAACTATCCAACAGAAAAAAAGTTAATTATTGTTGGCATAATCACTTTATTTTATCTCTATTATCCTCCAATCTTAGAATGGTTAATAGTGTTGAAGAAAGTCAAAAACATTCTGAAGAAAACTTGATATTTCTGTTTACAACTACATGGATTTATAATCCAATAACTCACAAAATTTTGAAATATTATGTCTAGTTATACGTATAACCAGTAGTCATAAAAAATAAAATAACATCATTTTGAATTACAATTGCACAAATGTTTCTGAACACAATAACAAACAAGAACTCTACAAGATTGAAATATGCCTAGTAACAATGTGCAGATCTTTACTGGTCTATAAAATCACAGAAAAAATAATAAAGTGCCCCACCACAGCATGATACGCCCGTCAAATATTGTTCAATTATCATAAATTAAACAGTTTAGGGTGCAAGAAAATCATGTCAACCTTAATTCAAAGATTTCCATGATTTTTCCATTCCTTATAATATTTGATGTTTATACATTTCCTGTAGTGCAGGCATTAATTATAATAAATTTCTCAACTGGTTGTGTTAGACCTTGACAAATGTTCATCTGCAGCCCCCTCCCCCCCCCCATCTTTCATATTTATTTGATATTTTCAAAAAATTAAATAAAAATATCATATAAAACAATATCAAATAGTCTTATCAATTTAATCTATGCCAAATTAATTTTGAAAATAAAAGGCTCATGGCCATCAAATGACATATGCTATAAACTGACAAGCAGTTTTTCTGTCTAATTCCCAAAGGATACAGATAAGAGCTGCTTGATCAGAGACAACAGAAATGATTGAGACTGCTAGCCTTCCTATACATTGAACTCATTAATTATAATCTTTAACTGGATGCATGTCCATTCATTACTCCCAAGGGATGAATGGATCTGCACTATCTGCTTTAATAGTCTGTATTGTAATAAAAATGCATATTTATGTCATTGCTTTGAAAACAGAGATTTTTTTAAATTTGTTACAAAGATTTATATAAAGAAACAAAAACTTGTGTAATCTTGATGCAATATTTTTAATAAGGTTACTGCATGACTCTTAGATTTGTAGGATCTATCTACCATCAAACATTTTTTAAAAAAAAAATACTTGATGATTTTTTTGAGATTTAATGTTAGACTGGTTTTAAGCTGCAGTTCATATTGACAAACAGACAAACCGACATCCTGATTCCAATATCCCCCCCCCCCCCCCGGGTATAATTAGTTTTAATTATATTACACAGTATCAAATTAGTTTATTATACAATATCAAGTTAGTTTTATTTACTTTTCACCAAATTCATTTTAAAAGTTAAAAGGCAAGACAAATAGATTCATTTATTCCTTTAATCCAACACTGATTCCTTTCCCCAATTCCCCGGAGATATAGATAACACCTGCTTGATCAGAGATGCTCTACCAGTTAGTTCCTCACACTAAACTCATTAATTTCTCTCTAATTTGACATGTAATTTTCTGTTATCAAAATTCTCCTTGACCAGTGCTTCATGATTACACCCATGGGAGAGGTGGAATTTCTCTTATAACATTACATTTGTTATAGATTGCTGTAAAGTATATAATGAAAAAATATAAGTATTTTCTTAATTTAACATCTTTTTAATAAGGATACTGCAACATTCTTACATTTTTGGGGTTTGTGTAATTTAATAGTATAGAGACACAGATTTTAAAAAAAATTTCACTAAATTAAAGGTCACAGTGACCTTGAAATAGGTCGTGACACACCTTCTACCTAAGATGCATTAATTGGCCAAGTTTGATGATTCTATGTCTAATAGTTTTCTAGTTATGAGCCGGACAGGATTTTTCCATATTTGGCCATAGCATCTTAATTAAAGGTCAGAGTGACCTACTTTTAATGCGCGACACACCTTCTACCCAAGACGTATCGGCTGACAAAGTTTGATAATTGTAGGCCTAATAGTATTAAAGTTATGAGCCAGACACGAAAAAGCTAACAGACGGACGGACAGACATGAAGGCTAAAACATAATACGTCCCGTCTTAAGACGGGTGTGTAAAAATGAAAAAAAAGTATTGTTACTATGAAAAAGAGGACTTTTACAGATAGTTTGGTCTTTCAGTTATTGCTGATAAACAACAAGATGGGGATATAAGCCTAACTTTTTTGTATAATAATATGGTAAATACTGAGTAATTCAGTAAACTTTTTCCTAATTTTCTAACACTTTAGGATCATCATCACTTTGATCACTTATATAAAATTTTGCTTTAATGCTAGAATAATGATTTTCCAAAGAAATCTTACTTATAAATAGAAACAACTTATCTTAAATTTTCAAAAATTTTCAAAAATTTACCCATTCTTATTTCCTGGGAATTAGCAGTCCTTTTTGATATTTCAAACCCAAATAACTTTGGAGACACTTATCCGGTACACATCAATATATTATGCAATTTGAAATATCTTTAGAGAAAAAGAAAATCAAAATTCCCAAGGAATTAGTTATTCATCACAGTGAGAGTTAAGTCTCTTATCAGAGGGTCAATAAACCTTAATCTGATACAGAACTATACAGCAAGCATATAAGGCCATCATTAAAAATATCTTTGTTTCCCCTAACCCAACCCTAAAATCTCGAGTTGGCTAAAGGCAAAAGGTGAATACGTCGCCATTGTTTCATAACAAGAACCCTCTGAGACCACAATGTTATGGGCACCATTTTGGTTCCAACAATTGAAAATCACTGTAGAACAAAATCGGTCATTCTCATAAAAAACCGGATTTTGGTGAAAATGTATTTTATAGTTCTAACTTGATGAACAATAAAAAATATATTTGAATAAATTTATATTAAAAAAACATTTCAGTCGGTGCAATTTAATTGGGTCGGTCGCGTTAGGGGAAACAAACATATTTTTTATTTTGGCCTAACTATTGGACTTGCTAATGTCAGTCCTGACATCCAGGAATTCCAAACTATCAGTATAATTGTAATTATAGAGTGTAAACCAGAAACTGTGCAGGATTAATACACACCTGTACCACATCATGTTAATTTTTAAAAATACCACCACCTAAAAACAGATTAGTCTATGTATTAAGGCCTATGAACCACACTGCCTATGAACCACACTTTTCTTGGAGCCATGCCCCTCCATCAATGATTTTGCCAGTTTTATACTATACAATAGGGGGAAAAAAAGCTAATATACAGTTGTGCCCCCGTAATAATTTTGCCAGTATATAACTATGCAGTAGAAAACAAAGCTAATTTACTGTAATGATTAATGTCTAATGACATTTTCTTTTTTGCTTATCAAGAGTTTTTGTTAAAGTATTCTTTTAATTAAAAGAAGTGTCTGCATATGTCAAATAATTTTGGGATGGATATCACATAACCAACTGAAAAGGTCATCTCTATTCAGTACTTTCATTACTTTGATTAATACCCTTTTGCCAAAAATACTCTCAAAACTTGATAATGACACACAAATTTCAATCAGAAGCTCTAGCTCAAGTGAGGTAAATAGTGTCTGATGTGCAGTACTTCTATCTCTACAATCTAAAGCTGTTTGCATAAGCTATACGCCTTGAAGCAGTTTTCAAAGCTAGAGTGAACTCTTACGCCATTAAAAAAGAAATTTTCTGTTGAACTATCATCTGGTGGACTGGAAGGGTCCAATGTCACACCTGAGGGGTGTGCAGCATTGTCCGAGTCCTTGGTGACCGAACCCTCAACTATTTCAAGGCTACGACTATTTGCATAAATCTGCAAGAATGAAATTGTGAGCCCTTGGGTGCTTTACATTTCTAGATATATTAACTTTCTTGATCAATGAAAACCCTTATACACAAGCAAGAATGAAATTGATAATTATTACTTGACTGAAATTTAATTTTATCAATGGTATACTGACAAAATCATACAGATCGAGTTCCACATAATGCTTTTAACAATAATCAAATGTAAAATATAAACTCTGTATGTTTTAATATACAATTTTTCTTCTCCTTTGATTGAATGACCACAAATCTTCCTTTATACTTTCTAGGTCTGAAGCTACCTGCATTCTTGAGTTACTGCATTACCTTAACATGTAATACCATATCAAAAGTCTTAACCTATTTATCCATATTATTGCATCACAATGGTTATCATAATGATCTTGACCTAGCTATGACCTTGATCTTCAAAAAAGTGAATTTATAGCTGTGACTTTCATTCTCTATCCAGAGTTGTCGTTCCCGCTACGCTCCCACATACACCTCTGTCAACGCTTGTTATACAAGATTCTTGGAAAAATTGTAAATGATTAAAAGTTGTATTAATAATCGTTTTTAATTATATTTCTTATCGGAAAACATTATTTATTTTAATTTATTAAATCTTAAAAGGATTTTTTAATTAGGATTTTAATTTTTACTCCGCAAAATAGTTCCCTTAAAACTTTGAAAATAGGTCGTTTTGAGGGATTTATAGATTTAAATAAATGATGAAATATCATCTTTATCAATAATTAAATTAATTAATTACTATTTAAATTTCAAATTTTCACCGTTTAAAATTTGTACAAGAATCTTGTACAACGAGCGTTGACAGAGGTGTTGTGAGCGTAGCGGAAGACAACTCTGGATAGAGAATGCTGTGACTTTTTCAAGGCATCTTAATCTACCTATAAAGTATGATGTCCTTAAGCTAATAATTACATGTATCTTAGTTTATGCACCACAAGGTCATATCAATACTTTGGCTTTCACCTTTGACCTCCTCTAACAGCTCTCCTGAACTATGAAGTAAATATGAAGTCTGTGAGAGATAACATATACTGTACTTGTATGTGTAATATCTTCACTTCTGACCTTGACCTTTATAAGTGACACCAAAGATTATGGCTGTCCTCTAATCAACCTCCACCTGTGACGGTGAAGCTTAAGTTTCAAAAAGTAATAAACATATTAATAATTAAAGTCTTTGTCCTTGATCTTTGACAAATACATGAATACCCAGGTGTCTTCATCTAACCTTTCTCAATCTTTATAGCAGACATAAAGTTTGTAGGTTAAAAAATATGCTATTTATTGCATATCCCATGTATCATAAATGCGAAAAGTTATAGGCATTATCTTTATAATTAACCTTGATCTTTGAACAAAAGAACCCTAAACCTCTAGATGTCTTTCTTTAAACACCCTCTACCTATGTATTTATAGGTGTAATACAAGTATACAGATTAAAAAGTACTTAAATTATTGCATCACAAAAAGTGCATGTTCACAGACAGACACAGTGATTGCTAAAGGGCACCTGTACTTTGATGCTTGGTCATAAAAATTATAAAACATAAATATTTGAGGAAATAAATTTACAGTTTGCATTCTGTTGCATGCATCTGAGGGTTGGAAGGAAACTCTCAAGCTGACATAATTATTGATTCTCTAAATGATAATGAAAGAACATACCCTCTGGTTTGGATCCACTCCTTTCAGGTTCTCTAGTTCTTGAATCCTTCTTTTTAAAGCTGCATTTTCTTGTTCTAGTGTCTGCACCTATAATGCCAGATTAACACTTCAATGATCGTGCAAACTGAATAAAATATGATTTTGTACGATCAAGATGCACTAGAAGAGGGAGTAGAGGATATTTAGTTGATAGATTCGTTCTACAACAAATGCTTTAAATATCTGTGGAAATGAAAAATTGCCAATAAATTCATTTCCTAGTCCATGCAAGATCGTGAAGAAATCAAGTTCAGGACAACCAGGTTTTACTATATAGCTAAATGGTAATGCAACTTTTCACATGGCTTACAATATCATATTACACGTAGTATCATAATAATAAGCCTGAAGGCATCATATGTATTTCTGGATTACCTTTCTTTGTAACATAAGACATTGTTTCTTTGTGTCTAGATCCTGTCCAGAAGTCTCTAGGAATCTTCTGTAAGCAAGATCAAAGGCCTGACCAATGGTCAATGTTATTTCCTCTGCCTATGAAAAAAGTGATTTTGAAAATATACTGTAAATGTATTTATATTAAAGGGTTGAGAGTTTTCATGCTTACAGGTATAAAGAGACATTAAAATCTCGTGCATACTTTACATAGTACTGAACAACATTGAAGTCTACCATCTTTTGACAGTCTAACTACTAGATTTTGATGCACAAAATGAAAATATATTTTATGAAAATTACTATGCTCCTGACAACACCCTTCCTCTGTCCAGATGTTAGGAGAGCCAGAATTATAAAAGTTAAAATTAAACCAAGCAAAAGCAAGAAATGTATTTCTGTATGCTTGCTGTCTCAATTAAAATGTATACAGCACATGTAGGCAGTATATACCGGTAATTAGTGAGACTTCACCTCAGATGATTGATGATGCGTACACATAATGTACATACACATTTATATATTATACTTTTATTTTACAATGTGCAACTCTACCACTTTTAAGAACACTTACACACTTTTCGCTGCCAAATACATAACAGTAATGCTTATTGGCATCTGCAGCTTTGGCAATAAAAGTAAACATTCGTTTGTCCGTTTTGTCATCAGCACAGTATGATATTCTGTGCAGGGGGTACTGATGCATACAGGCCTGGAATAGATGTTAAAAACAGCTGAATATTGTCATCTGTGCATGACAGTAATAACATATACTAATCAATATCAAGAGAAAAGTTTTCCAACCAATGGAATTGACATACATGTACATTTGTCATCCATAAAAGAGAAATATAGGTGTGAATAAGAGGGGCAAAATAGAGTCCTTATTCTCCCTAGTCCTTTATTATATTGATTACAATAATGAAGCTCAAATAAATAAATTAATTTAAACCAGTAATAATTATCAAAAGTTGGAGGAAGAAAAAGTTTGTAGAGAGAGGGAGAGGAGGGGAACTAACTTTGGTTTTGGGGTCCTGAATTGTTACTCCATCAGCTGATATAGTCAGCTCCACGCGGGGTGTTTTCTGTCCCTCTGCCTTACGTATATGTTTGTTAAACTGAAAAGAAAAGAATTCAACAAGACATTTATCATACAGACCTTAGAGTTAATATTAAAAATCTTCCTTATGATATATCAGGTTATCATTCATTTGATAAATGAGTTGTCTGATCACAATGGAGCCTTTTTTTCAGATGACATACCTTTCGTTTTCTGATGGCATCTTTCACTATATCTGTACCCTTGGCACTGTCTACTTCACATTCACCCAAAAACTGTCAAAATATATCAGGAAATCATTATTTTAATTGCAGTCAAAAAGTAAACAGGTAGAAGGGGGGGGGGGGGGGTAGGTTCCACCAGTCAAGATCAGATTATCTATTTTCTTTCAAGAGGAGGACAGATTATTTATTAACATGTTTTCAAGGACAGCTTATTTATTTCCAAAATCTGCCAGCCTGCTCCCTTTCAGAATCAAAGGGTAGTCCCCTTGCATATTTCAATGCAAAATGTATTGGGACACTTTAAAGCACCTAATCCTGATATAAATATACTAGTATCTATATGCTATCCAGTACACATAACATAAACTGAAATTTTTTGCAGGAGAAAATGCATGACTTCTTCATTTCTGTGAAGTAATTGCTATGCTCCAGCTCAAATACTTGAAATTAAAAAGTAGAACAATTAAAGGGACTTTTTGTTTCTGCAAAATATCATCACAATATACAGTAAAAGCTTTTTCCATTAATGGATGAAATGACCTTTTCAAAAATACAGATTCCAAGTAACCTTAAGGAAATGTAATTTTTAATGTAACCTTTTTATAGTCATAAGGTTAAACTTGATTTCTTCACTAATGCCTAATAAGATATGGTGAAAAACAATGAACTAGAGAGATTGTTGCCTTCTTTGATGACTTAACAAGACATATAATTAGTATGATTTTTTTCTACAGTCTGAGTAACCTATGAAATAATAACTTTGATGACATATTGTAAAACCTTTGCAGATAGGGGCATAACATAAGTTTTAGAAATATTTACATTTGGATCCCATGGTATATTACCACTGTACTTTAATTAACACATGCACAATCTGGCCTCAACAAGAGATTTTCAGCGAGATGCATATTTCAGTTTAATTGCAATGCACTTTATGAAAAGGTTAAATTTGTTATACACCCTATGGCTAAATGCTTTTTTGTCTCTGACAGTGGCTTTAAAAAGTATTTCAGAAAAAAAGGTCGCTTTAATGAAATATCCTCTCTTTTGATACAAATGTCTTTAAAAATCAATTCTGAGCTCAAAGATTTGTAAAGAGCCCCGTACAGCTCAGATGAGATGGGGTCTTAAAACTAGTGTTACTACATGTATTTTGTAATTTGGGTGGATAACAATGTAAGTTTGTTATCATTATTATCTTTCTAGGATGTCTCATTTATAAAATAATTTTATTAAGACTTTTTTTTATCCTAGAATTGTTAAGGTCAATGCAAGATCTAGTAAATAAAGAGTGCCTACAGGTTTTTCAAATTTGCGACACAAATTCCTTTAATAATCAATTACAATTATAGCTTAATAAATTAAGGTGTATCGGGACATAACTTTTAGATAAAATCAACAAAAAAACATATTTTAAACTGCCCTTTTCAATGAAAAATAGAGAAAATCAGGTATAAAAATGGGAGTTTTCTCCATCTCAGACAAAGAAAATGTATCAATATTGCCTACAGTCTCTCAGAAAACAGTTTTTCATATCTTCTTGACCTCTTCTTTAAAATGATATTAAATTGAATATAGGTATCGGGGTTCCTTTTGACATGATTAAAAATTGAATTCCAAGAAAATGCATCATTTTCTGCATAATTCTGTTAATGCCGTAAAGTATGGGAAAAAGTAAGTTTAAATCAATTATGACGTCATAATGAATCTAGCACCAACAAGACAGTCTAAACTCATTTACTAGATCTTGACCTTTTAAGGTCAAGATCTAGTAAATGAGTTTAGACTTTCTTCTTGTTGCTAGATTCATTATGACGTCACAATTGATTTAAACTTAATTTTTCCCGTACTTTACGGCTTCAATAGAATTATGTAGAAAATAAAGCACTTTCATGGAATTAATTTGAAACCATGTCAAATGTAATCCCGATACCCTTATTCCGTTTAATATCATTTTAAAGTAGAGATCAAGAAGATATGAAAAAAACGTTTTCAGAGAGACTGTAGGCAATGTTGATACATTTCCTTAGTCTGCGATGGAAAAAACTCCCATATTTATACCAGACTTTCTTCATTCTTCATTGAAAATGGGCAGTTTATAATATATTTTTCCGATGAGTTTACCCCAAAATTATGTCCAGATACACCTTATTTTACCAATCTATATTCGTAAAGGATCATTAAAAGAATGTGTATCTCAAATTTGAGAAATCTGTGGGCACTTTTCATTCACTAGATCTTGACCTTAAGGAGGCATGATCAACCTAGGTCACTCACTACTTAAAACTACTCTACAAATAGAACTCTTAATTTAGTGTGCAGTGTTGAGAGCTTCCTTAAAAACCATAGCCCAGCTAGTGTCATGGCTAGCAGTGTAACAATACATTGATACATGTAAATCAAAGTAGTGTGATGCAGAGGAGGTCAATTTAAAACGTTGATACATAAAATGATATATCATTTTTTTAAAAATACTTTCCAGAAGTGTAATTTGTGCATGTTTTGGTCTTAAAATTAAATTTTTTAAATCATTTAAAATCTAAAAGAAAAGTCAAATTTCTTTTTTCTGGCATTAAAAACGAAAAAAGGGAAACAACTATTAATTAAATTAAATAAATTAAATAAATCTTTATTTTGCTTTAATCTTGGTTTCAGAAAGAAAAAAAAGACTATAAGTGTAATTTTTTCAGAAAAGAAACGCTGAAATCTACATTCTTTCCCAAAAAAGGACAATTTTGGAAAAACCAACGAATGTAAAATCTTAATGTATAATGATATATTGCCATATTTTTCTAAAATATCATGATACATCATGATACTTTTCCCCCGCATGATAAACATGCAGCCATAGTTATGGCTTCTTTGATGGCACAAGTCCCTAACATAGGTTTTAATTTTGTGCTGATGATGTACATTTCAAGTTCATGCTATGACATCAAACTGCTACAATAAATTGTTATTAAGAGGAACTAGTTGGCCATTGTTCCTTTTAGTACAGATTCTTGTTAAAGCATGACCTTTGACCTCTTACCTTGACATTGTACACAATATGTCCAGTAAGAAGCTTGTCTTGGGGGTGTATCCACTGTTTGAGGGCTGACTTCATGGTGAGAACTTGGGGGGTAGTGGTCTCTTCTATACCCCCTCCTTCAAAGGATTTCTCTTTTCCTGGTGATTTTAAGCTACCAGTGCTGTTTCCAAGGTGAAGGAATTTCCTCTTCCCAAAATCTTTGTTGGGTAACAGCACAGTGTTCTGTTTACTAATGAAATAATCACGAGAAACCTTTACTTTAGCTGTGGCATCCATTTTAGAAAGGTTTACAATAGCACACAATGATCAATTGTCAAAAGTTTATCAGTGAAAATATTATCTCTCCCGAGATAATAATACATCAAACAGTAACGTTATATTATTATGCAGGAACTGGTACTACAAAACCACTTAGCCTCTGATTAATACATCAGTCACTTAAGATTGGCCACTTTATTCCTCAGTTAATAATGCGTAATGATTAATCCAAGCATGACAGATTTTTGAATACACAAAATTTATTATGGATAAATTTGGCACAGTCACTTTTTCAAGGTTAAGTCACTAGACAATTGTGGAGCTAAGTACAATTTCCTGTAGGAAACTAGGGAACAGAAAGATCAGAGAGCACATAATATCCAAAGTCTGAATTCAGAGGACACACTGCAAACCATCCAGAGCTATTTTTAACTCTGCCACATGTACACCTCCAGTAGTTTTCTTGTCAATCAATTTTTTTTTTGAGAAGATCAAGGAACTGTGCAGGAAAACACACAATAAAATTTAACAGTGTAAGCAAGTATGCTTGTTCAACTCTCTTAAAACTATGGTGTATTTCAAAATCATATCAGTTAAACAAATTCACAACATATGACATTCACAATCGTTCTGCAAGCTAGCATTCAATCCACGTAAAAGCCATCTGTCTGGTATACACAGCTAGTTCACTCCTAGTTATAGTGTCAATATATTTCACACCTTCCTGTCTATATTGATAAAATATTTTATGACTGATACACACAATCAAACTGAATTAAAACACATGACACTCTAGTACACCACACCACACTAGCTACCACTCAGCTGTTCATGTAAACAAATCCATTGACAGGTTCAATACACAAATTCTCCCTATCAGAAAACCAAATAAGACACTAAAGGTCAACTCAGAATTTGACCGAATCTTTGCACCAAGTCAGCCATGATTGTACACAAGTCCTGTAACACAGCTCAGAGGTTTATATATTATGTATTGGAGAAGATTTCATTTTTCTACACCTGAGTGATTTAAATGCTAGTTCTATCTTTAGGTCATTCTTTACAAGCCTGAAATGCTCAGGTGTTTCAAGTGCTTTAATATTGTACCTGTAGGGCAAAATTTTCACAAAATATCTCTACATTTATCTTTTGTTTTAAAGTTTTTTTTTCACTCTTACTTTTTTTCTAAAATGTCATAGGTTAATGGTACATGTTAAATAAAATACATATGCATGCATGTACCAGCATATATATATAAACTCATGCAGTTTATGCATAACTTATAGGTTTGATATATACCATCACTTTCTTTAGTGAGAATCTTTATGCATAACATTGAGTCAACATCATTTATATAAATTAATACTCAAATTAATCTATAATGCTTATCATTTACATTGTGTCACAGTGTGAGATTTGTGTGTTGGTTAAAGATAAATTAAGAGTTAATTCCCTTGAACACAGTATCATACATGTAATTATACAGTATACATTCTTAATCAAGGAAACATTACAAAGAGAAGAAAATTCTAACTTTTGTAATTGATTCTGAAAATTTCTCTGGGAAAAAATGTCCCATTTAAGTGTTTTTCAAAGTAATGCGACCAAATTTGAAGACAAAAGTGAACTATCTGGACTCCGAAATAAAAACTGAATGAACCGAATTCAAAGATCTGGAGTCAAAATGTGAGCACCCTAGGGTTTGTAATTGATTCTGTTAAGGAATCTGCAGAACTGACCATGAGGCAGCCCGAGGTTAACCAAAAAGACCCTGAGAGATCAAACTCTGAGCACAGAGCAGCACACAGACAGACAGAAAGGGAACTTAAGTCAATATGTAATGAGAATTCCAATATTATAGATTCCATCATTGACCTGAAAGCAAGATCTATCAGGGACAATTTAGTTTTCTCAGTTTTACCAGAGTATAGAGAAGATACAGAGGAGGTATGCGTACTACAAAATTTCTTACACAAGAAATTCAAGATCGATTACAATATATTTTTTGAGCAGGTCCACAGAATGAGAAAGTACTGTGAATTTAGTGATTGGCCATGGAACATAGTGGCAAAATTAATATATTTCAAAGACTTTGAATACAGGACACACGATAGCCCATTTACACCAAGGGGGAACCAACCATCCAAGAGAGTGCACCCTGGATCCACTCCCAACTGCACTGAGACTTAGAGGGGCACGGGAGAACAGACTCCAGCAAAATGCACCAACACTGAATCAACACGTTCGAAAACGCTGAAATTTTTAACCTTATAAACATCCTTGGAATTGAAAACCATTTTAATTACACCAAATTTTGTGGATTTATCACCCAATATAATATACTAGCTTCTAATGAATCAAAAACGGATTAAATTCTGATGATTCTGATGATGTACATTTTCTGGGTGATAACATTATGAAAAACAGAAGTAAGGTTGCGTGGGTGGATTTATTTAAGCAATATGTGATGATATGGTCAAAGCATTTTAAAATGATAAATACTGATTCAGATTGTAAATATGTTTCTGGAAGAAATATGTTAACGAAAACTATTTTGTAAAACCAAATGCACCTAAATTTTCGGATCTGATGGCAAAACAGCTAGGTTGCTTAGGCTTTGATAAAACTATGTATGTATATTTCAAAGCTATATGATTTAGTATGTCCTCCATGATTTTTTCCTTATCATTATTATACATGTAATTATCATTTCCTTTTTATTTCTTTCACAATCCCTGCCTTAGTATTTCATGTACTTGTACTGCTGACCTGAATTTATGCACTGTAAATGTTGTACATTCTCCTCATACCATATGTTTTGAAATGGTTTTGAGCAAATAAATGAACTTGTTGCAAAAGAGGAGGGGCTAAAAAAAAAACAAACAAAAAAATTCAATTTATCATTTCAAAGACAAAATATAAATAAGTTTAATGGATGGATTATATACATATAAGATTTGGTGTATATCTCCCCAGCACAATATCAAGCTGCCTCAAATGTAAAAGCTTCGGTTTACCTTCAATTAATCTCTCTCACACCTCTTTCTCTCTGACTCTCTCTCATAACAATTTCCTGATAACAAAAATGAAAAAAAAAAATTATCAAGGAAATTTTGTTTCGATTCTTCTTAAGAATGAGGTTATATTTTAATGCATTTATCAAACAAAAACTTCCTTAGTGAAGACTCTAACACCAAACATCAATAGGATCAGCTGAGTTACCTACCTTCCTAATAAATAAATAGATAATGAAACCCATCTTCCAACCATCAACTTATTAAAAGTCCAACAATTTTAATTTACATTTCAATGATATTTACCCAGGGTAAATGTTACTTCTATACCTCTGAATGTATGTACCTGCAGTTACCTGATACCTCTTACTGGGTTATTCAAGATTAACAAGAGGCCCATGGGCCACATCACTCACCTGAACATAGTCTGAACTATCTGACGTTTTCCTTTCACGATTTTGATATTTTACGTGCCAGGAAAACGTCAGAACCGGCGCCATTACAAAAACTGGAAATTCGCCGCCTCCAACTGGAGGAGGCATTCTCGGGTTGATTTTCGATACTTGCGAACCAAATTAAATGCTGAATTCACAACTTATTTATAGTACAATGCCTTTAGTACTCACCAACATCGTTTATGTGGGTTTGTTTATGAAATATACAATCTGGTGAAAACATTTTACCAGACGGTCGAGTTTTCTTTTCATTTCGTGCATTTTAAAATCTTGCAAGACCAAATCGAAATGTGGAGAGATATTTTTTTTTCATCGGTATTGGTGAGTAGTAGAAGCATTGTGGTACTGATGAATAGTAAGTTCTGCAATTTAATTCAGTTTGCAAGTATCGAAAATCAGCTCCGGTTGGAGACGGTGAAATTTCCAGTTTTTGTAATGGCGCCGGTTCTGACGTTTTCCTGGCACGTAAAATATCAAAATTGTGAAATAAAGCCTGGAAAACGTCAGATATTTCGGACTAACCTGAACACTGTGGCTAGGAAAAAAGCAAAAATCAGTTCAGTATTGAAAAGCTTTAATGCATAAGTGGTCCTGACCTACCCCTAAAAGGGGGGTATGATTGAACAAAATTGAATCTTCACTAACTAAAGATGCTTACATATTTCTTTGACCAACTGTGACTTTTTTCCCTACAAGAATGAACTTTCATTATGGTCCCACCCTACACCCTGCAGGTCATGATTGGAACAAATCTGAATCTACACTTTCTGAGGATGCTTCCATATAAATATGACCTATCATAGCTTAGCTGTTCTTGAGAAGAAGATTTTTAAAGATTTTTCCCATATATTCCTATGCAAAACTTTGATGTCCATCGTGGCCCCACCCTACCCCCCAGGGTCATGATTTTAACAAACTTTAATCAACACTACCTGAGGGTGATTCCACATAAGTTTCATCTTTCCTGACTGAGTGGTTTTGAGAAGAAGATTTTTAAAGATTTTTCCTATATACTCCTATGCATAAATTTGATTGTTCATTGTGGCCCCACCCTACCCCCGGGGGTCATGTTTGAACAAACTTGAATCTACACTACCTGAAGATGATTCAACAGCAGTTTCATCTTTCCTGGCCAAGTGGTTCTTGAGAAGAAGATTTTTAAAAGATGCCATTAATTTTTCACTGATTTGTAATTACCTCCTCTTGGTAGAGAGCATGGCCCTTCATTTGAACAAACTTGAATTCCCTTTACCCAAGGATACTCTGTTCCAAGTTTGGTTGAAATTGTCCCAGTTTTGGAGAAGAAGATGAAATTGTGAAAAGTTTACAATGACAACGACAACAGACACCACACAAATTTCGATCAGATTAATAATAGAATTTTTGGTAAGTACATAAGCTTCATCTTTTCTGGCCAAGTGGCTTTTTGAGAAGATTTTCAAATTAAAGGATGTCATTTCAAATTTCACTAATTCTTAATTATCTTCCTTTAAATGAGTGTTTGGCCCATCACTTGAACAACTTAAATTCCCTTAACCTAAGGATGCTCTGTGCCAGGTTTTGTTGAAACTGGCCCAGTGATTCTTGAGAACAAGAGCAAATTATGAAAAGTTTACAGTGGTAATGACAGACCATAGACAAATTTCTTCCAGAAAAGCTCACATGAGCCTTTGGCTCAGATGACCCAAATTTACACTGAGGCTGCACACTGAAGCAGTCCTAAATAATAGTTCTCGCATTTCAACTTCCAGAACCTGCTACATGCTGCCTCACTCCCACACAGTTAGTCTTTATACAGTTGAACTTTGGTATCTTGAACATGAATATCTTGAATACCCTGGATATGTCAAAGTGATCTGGAAGTCCCAACCCCTTATTCTTTAAGTACATTACCCTGTATTTCTCCAATCATCGGATGTCTCAAAGTTTTTTCTTGGTCCCATTGAGTTTGAGATAATGAGGTTTGACTGTATTTTTGTTTCTTTAGAACATGTTCAAGGAACCCAGGCTAGCTAGCAAGTACTTAAGGAGCTCCTGGAGGGATTTTTCTTCACTGCTTTTAAAAATTCATGAAATTTTTACATAAATAAGAAAACAATATCACTAAGTGATGGAATCATTTCAGATTTAATTGACTGTTTTATTTTAGTAGCAAGGTTAGGTCCATGGACATCATGTTTTTTCTTTGACACCAAGCACAGGTACTTGGGTCTTGGTTTATAAATATGTATGTACCATTGATATGTAAAAAAAGATAAGATACCCACAAATTCATGTCCACCACAAAATGTAAAATTTCATATTCATAACTTCTCTGTCTGTGTGAACAGTCTTCTCCATCCACAAAATCAAGTCCCCATAAACCAATAATTTTTCCTCAAACCCTGAAAATATGACCTCACAAAAATATGTGATTTTACAGTATACTTCAACATTTTAATTAGTTCTGAAACCAGACAAGTAACCCTCCTAGATTAGTTGCCATGATCCACACAGCATTTGATTGGTTGACATAAAACACAAATACTAATCACTCTAAGACAAACTTTGAAGAAAATCAGTTATGCAAAGGGAGAAAACTAGGTTCCATAAAATCTGCTCCTTCACTACCAGTTTTTCTCTATCTCCATATACTTTTGTAATCATCTAAAGAAAGTCTGCAAGCCTTAATAATGAGCCTTTAAAAAAATTCAGGAACTCAGGTTTGACATGGAACATTTAGTTTTCTGCCTCCAGGTAATCCTTGTGTCTTAATGTGAAAAAATGAACTGGGTTTGAAAGAGAGCCTGTCCTGTGTAACTAGCTTGCACAAATTATGGAACCTATAAAACCTTAAATTTGTATAGATGATGGTGAAAATTCTCTCAGTATTTAACACTAAAGTTTAGGAAAAACTATTGCTGATGTCTGCTACACTTCTAGAGATGAATAGAATGTTGTTCCATTGTTATACACTAGTATCTTTGTTCATTAAAAAACAATTTTAAAGAGAGGAAATTGTCCCATTAGAACTACTGTTCATTCCACATAACAGACAAGTGCTCATAGTTGTACAGTTTAACAGGATATTTGAAAACAAACAGCTAAGGCTTTTTAAAATCATTGAAGAAGGGGGATGTTCCCAGTTCCCTCCCCTATTTGGTCTCTATGCTTTATCAGATAACCCCCACCCCCATCCCCAGGACCTGGAGGACAAGAAAGTCTGATATAGTTCACAAATTGTGAGTAGAAGCTGATACACCCATTGCACACACAGAGGCAACATTGATACAATACTCTACATATAATAGCTATAGTAGTAAAACATTATGTATTAATAAAGATACTCCTTTTTTTCCTGAATTCCATTATCTGTAAACACACATTCTTTCATTTTTTCTACTGAAAATCTTGACCTTCCTTAGAGACACATTAACAATTCAATTTCCTTGTTAGTAACTAGGTCAAAAGAGATCAAAGAAGTAAACTCAGATATATAAAGATTACCATATCACCTTCATTTTCTGACCCTAACTAACAAGGAAAATCTCAGAAAAATGATACCTGAAATCCTCGATGATATGGTCCTCCTCACAAATTAAAGGAGCTCTCTGTGACATCCCTATCATCACCAGAGTGTTGGTTGTGGCAGTCATGATAAGAGAGGAGACCCATGCAAAATAATAGTCTCAAGTATCATGTACCACATCGCCTGCCTAATTAGCTTATCCCAACTCACACATGCAGTGACTGAAGTACTAAAGTTCACATCCATCTATTCTTACTACAAATATGTCAATCACAGTACAGTAAGCCCCAGCATGGGGTGTGTATTGTGAAATGACAATTTCATATTTACTTTTATAAACAACTAAAAGGTATATCAAAAGAAATGCGCAGAAGTGAGGAAATACGTTTTTAAGATGTAATCACACCACATAAACACACTCTGGTTACACAGTGCAACACTTTTACCTATAGGAGAGAGTTATGAATTATTTTCAAATCAGGGGAGACAACTCTTGCCTACCATTCACAACAAAAGTTAAATGTACCTTAAAGTTTGTGCCTATAATGACATAATCCCCTGCTTACTCTGGTATTGCCCCTCAATCCCCTGTTAAGGGACGAACCCCAGACCCCCTTTTACTTTTTTAATGTTCCCTGCTATTTTAATTCTTAGGGACAACCCTATGCATGTATAAACCAGATATTTATCCCAATATAATCAATCCAAGAGAATTAAAGACCAAAACCCAACACTACAGCTTTGTAAGATTAAAAGATCTGATTTACTAAAACAACTTGATTTTACAGTACATCATAAGTATCACATCTTGCAGGTTTTAGAAAAGGTCTTCAGACTGTTGTTTTTGTGGAATTTTATTTTTCAAATGAAGTCTGAGTCTCAGGGATGCTAAATCATTACAGATTGAAGCTGACATGGGTGGAAGCTTATATGAAAGCCTTTCAAGAGAATACGTTAAATCTTAGGAAGACATCTAAATTTTCATGATGTAAGTTCAAATTGTGACAGAATACTTGAACTTATTCATCGTCCCCCTGTTCACCCATGTACAATTTTGTTTTAATGAATGATTTTCTAAAAGAAATCTAATTTATTAAATTAAAATGCACACCATTTCAGCATACCTTGGGGGAAAATTCAACTGAAATGGCTTGAGAATTTTATAAAAGAAAATGATAGATAATTATTTATGTCAGTGAGAATTATCTTTCTTGTCAGGGAGTTAATGAACCTTAAACAAATTCTTATCAATTAACCCTTCGACATTTGAGATTTCAAGATAAGTCATTTGAAAAACTCTTATGATTTAACTCTTCTGATGTAATTCAGATCTAAAATTCTACACAATGCAACTTACCAGTTGATTTGATTCAGATCAAGTTCACTCTAGAATAACTTCATTAATCAATCTCAAAGATCAGCTGCAATAGTTATTAACATAGAGAAAATATTAAAATGTTGCATTCTATTATACTGGTAATTTTCACATTCATTCCATGCTTTAGAAATGTGAATATATTTGAGATTAGAATTCCATATTTTAATTAATTATATAAAAGCAATCCATGTTTATCACAAAATCATAATTTACCTGTTTACTGTACAAAAAAGTGGTATTCCATGAAAAATAAGTTGTTTATTACCGAGAGAGAGACAGTTTATAGGCTAAAACACGAGTGAGTAATTTAATTAATCCCTTGAGGGTTTATAGCTATATGTATTATATCATCTGGAGGAATGTTAGAAAAAGTAAAATTTCATGTAGAAAAATATTCAACAGAGAACCTGTCAGGTCTCAAACATCCCATTTCTTATGATTTACAAACAGGTGACAAATGGAAGCAGAAAAACTACATTAAATGCATTAAATCTTTTTCTGTTACAAAATTTACCTGAATGTTGAATATACATTGTATTAGAGTTTTTAGCCTCGATCCACGTACAGTTTAACAACCTTGTTAGCACAGGTGATTAATCGTGTCATTTCATTTTATGCAAGTACATGCTCCAAATTTTCAAAGCCTGCAAATTATTCATGCAACTGAAAATGACACTGCTAATAAGGATGATAAGGGGGCTATAAGTATCCTAGTATAAATAAGGATTTTTCTGGGGGTAAACAATTAATGGTCTAGCTAAGGTCTAAAGAAAAATTTACAAATCCAGAAAAAAATCAAAGAGTCCACCAAATATTACATGTCAAAACTATCAAAATTAAAAGATTGAGCTTAGACCAGGCCTGTCTGGTTTGTGTGTTTTTTTTTTTTTGGGGGGGGGGGGGGGGGGAGAGGTAAAAAAAACAACCATCAACCTGCATAATTCTTTTACAACAGGAAGAGCTGTCGGTTGGACACAAGCACAATCAAATCATAACCAAACAGAAATATTTCTTGATGAGTAGAGGGCACAATGGCAACTATGCATATTGGATTTCATAACATACAATGTAAATCAGCTTTGATTTTCTATTGTAAATTACTTGCAAAATAATTTGGGGGTTGGGGTGGGGATTGGGGTCCATTCCCCTTTCCTGGTTCCTACAGATGACTGTAAATTCAGGGACTTTGAAATTTTTCCCCTTTGCCTGTAAAATACATGTAGCACTATTAAAAACGAGTGATTATTTGAAGATGGCAAATAGTCAGTTTTATTTAAGGACCATTACTCTTGAATTTTCAAAAGTTACTTTTCCCCATCCTGCTTTCTGTAAGTTCAACAATATTCTAATGCTTTCTTCTAAACCACAAATCCAGCTACATTTCCTTGGAAATATTATCATATAATTGCAGGACTATATTGCTAACTTAGCTCAAAAACAGATAAACATACAGTCAAAAGTAAACCTTAAACATTGGTAATATTTTTTTCTTTTACAAACAGCTATGGATAGCAATTTCAGACTTTGATTTTAGGCCTTAGAAATTTAATTGCATGTTTCCTGACTATAATGTTCTCCAACTAAACCTCTCTACATTCAGATTACTGACACGTTTATATAGGTCATGGTGTAGTGACTCCTTCAAAAATCTGACAATGCAGGTTACAGAGTTGCACCCCAACATTATCCTAATTTACAAAATTCATAAATATGTTTATTGAAAGAATGCATGCAACTATACCTTCTGATTTGATATTACAAATCCCTCCTTAGTGTTTATAATTTGTACACTTTTTCCCATGTATTATTTCTTTATGCTATTAGATAGGATATTAACCTTATATATATAATGTTATGAAATAGATTTTATAGTCTGGGGGAAGTATTATGATCATAGTTTTAGGTCATAAATGTAACAATAACAGTCATAAACCAACAATAAACATGGTTGTATATAAAAGGTAATTGTCTTCATTGGAGGATATTGATCTGTCTGTAAACGTGACATCTATTTTTAGTCCTGATCAAAGTTTGTTTGCTTGTTTTGAAAGGTGGGATGGGGTTGGTGGTTCAACCTTTAAAAAAAATCACACAAATTGGACTCACGAAAATTTGCCAATATGAATAAAATACTACATTGTACAGGAATTAATTCAATATATTTAAACAGAACAAAATATCTGAATGGAACATATGGGCCACATCAGGTTCCCCTAAATTCTACTGGTTCCACTTCTTTTTGTACAAAAATTATACAGTGTACATTAAGATAACCATTTTCTACTGACACCTTTTTAACTGCTATTTATAGTATTTATCCCTGTCTTAGATATACCCCTTCCTTTGCTATTTTATAACCTTCCTTAGTATATCTGTTACAGCTGAATGAAGTCTATTTTGTACAGCAAGTTATGTTCCTTTATAATGCTTTCCTGGTTATTTAAAAAATAACTATGTTTTCCTGGTTATTTGAAGAATAACCATAATGTTTTCCTGGTTATTTGAAGAATGTTTTCATGATTTAAAAAACTTACCTGGTACATTGTGTTATAGAAGAAAAACTATAATATTTTTCTAGCTCTTGAAAGATTTACTATAATGTTTGTCTTAGTTATCAAAGATTAAGTTTTCTTACTTATTTTAAGAATAACTATAATTTTCAGAAACTATAAATTTTCTTATTTAAAAATAACTAAATATAAATGCGTGTTAAATACTAGTATTTAGGACATTGCCGAGTTTTGTTGATTAGTGCTTCCTGTTCTTAACTGTAGATCATTTAGATCTAATACGCATTTATATTTACATTTAGACATATAACAATGAATGCAGAATAAACAAAAATACCCAAACATTCACATTTCTCTCCTTCAGTTGCTCTTTTGTAATCCTCAAAATGTTACAAGATACGTGTATAATAGTTTCAATGTGAGCAGAGATACACACCATCATGTTCTAAAGCTTTCCGACAGAAAGATGCTGATAATGCATAGAAGTTTAGTTATGAAAAAATTACATTACCAATTATCGAATGAGGTACTTTTCCGGTAGATCTTCTGCAAAGGTACGTACCAGGCCCTGCCTCAACAATGAACATGCTCAATGAAACCCTTCGCTGGACGGTGATATTAACAACATTCTTGTAAGATGCGCTGGACGACAGGACAATTCTTCATAAATTGTTAACAGGACTATCCAGTGCTTTCTCGTGCAAGTCTTTACCGACACTGTCAGTGGTCATAAAACGTCAGACGTCCATGTTGATATTTATACACCATAACAATTAGCCATGGAGCCAAGTATAGTAAAATATACTGTCATCTTTGTCTCCATGCCTTTGGGCAGTGAATTTACTCCAAATCTCTTTAAATGTTCACCCCCGTTGAAAAATAACCGAGAGGTTTTGTTGAAAATTTGAACATCGCCGTGAAATTTTTATTGCGAATCATATTTCATCATATTTTACTATACATGGACATACATGTACGATAAATCATACAAATGTATATTTCTTTTAAATCTTAATTAATTCATACATAAGTTTTTATCAACAGCATTATGGTCAATAGGAATTCAAATAATGATTGCTAAATGATATCGTACATGTGTCCCAGTGCAGTTAATTAAGACGTTGAGTATGTATATTTTTTTTTCTTTTCTAACCAGACTACATGTAAGTTGACCAAAATACTATGATCAAAGGATACATGCAACCAAAGTTGGTTCATTGCCACTGAATAAAGAAATTTAATCATTGTCTTACACTTTGTTGTTTAATGTCTCAATCCATTTTTTCCTGTTTTCTTTCAGCAACCACCCCTCCTTCTTGGCCCTCCAAAGTTCTCTCCCCTATGTTCTGCCTATCCTTACAATCATTGACAATATTTATGGGCGGTGGAAAGGGTAAAAAAGACGTTAATGCAAATCTAGCAATTAATTTTGCAAATAATAATAATAATAAAATAAAAATATAAAATACTAAAAAACAACCTGCTTATTAAAAATCAAATCAATTCACTTGCAAAACCAACAGACTCCTCTCTAGTGTTCTTGCTCTTCTTCTTGCAACTAGTCACGCTGGACACGTAATTACCGCTGATGTTAATATACTAGTTAAAAATGAAGATCTTAAAAAGTTCCCAAATATAGGGATTCTATCCTTCCCTTTTCACTAAATCGGAGGTTATAAAAGAATTAGAAAGACTACGTGAACAATATGTTATGGTTCAAGCAGACAAGGCTTGTGACAATATCGGCTTTGTTTGTAAGGCTCATTATAATAACTTTATTTTAGAAGAACTTGGTTTTAATTCTGGAAATCCAACTATCTAAAAATGAAATTCTTCAAAATCACATTTCAGTGTTTAATACTTTTAACATTCCAGTCAAACAAGGTAAGTTCGATCTTCCCTACCTATACTGGATTCCTAAACTTCATAAAAACCCTTAAAAGTGAGTCCAGCAAATGCTCTACCAAACCTAACAATATATTAAGAGACATTTCAGACGCACTGTGCTATAACATATTCTAGTTCAGTGGTGTAAATCAGATGTGGATTCTCAACAAAAACAAAAAAAAAAAACAAAACAAAAAAAAACTCTAAAGAAAAAAATTTAAATCACCAAATTTTTCAAAGGTCAATGACATCAAAACGTACGACGTTTCTACACTTTATACAAATATTCCTCACGATAAATTAAAATATAGACTTTTTGATATCATAGACAACTGCTTCTTAAATAAAAATTTCGTATCTTGTGATTGGTCATCAACAAAGCTACAGTATACTTTGTTGAAAAGTTACTCTGATTCTGTACGCAAGTACTATGTACTCTGAATTTGATGGATTTTGTCATTGACAACATTTATGTCATATTCGGAGACTAGGTCTTTCAAAACTGTTGGAATTTTCGATGGGAACTAATTCTGCTCCTTTAACAGCCGACCTGTTTTTAAATTCCTGTGAAGCAGAACTTGTACACGAGAACAAGGAAAATCTTGCTGTGGCCTTCAACATGACATTAAGATATATCGACGACTTTTTAACAATAGTTACTTCCCTTCATGTGTCGACTCGATAAATCCAAGTGGTGTTTCATACCGACTGTTAGGGCTCAAAGCGGGTGTGATCGATCGACAGGGGATGCTTACTCCTCCTAGACATGTGATCCCATCCTTGGAATTTCTGGGGCCCCGTGTTTTCTGCCCTGTTCACAGATTATTATATTATTTGTAGATTTTTTTTTTTAGATCGACCATTTTTTTCTATTGCAAAACAAACGATGACCGATGCAAAACCAACTGACGCCGGATGGCGGGCAAAACAAAAACAGTTTCGTATCTGAAGTTTATATCTTAAAATTGATGAAAAATTGATTAAAACAATTTGGAAATTGGCAAAATTAGTGACCTTTCCCAATGAATAACATAACTAAAAATCAAGATAAAAAATAATAAAATAAAAAAACAACTTACAGTGGAAGGCTTTGGTAATGACCTTAATTGCAAGCAAGCACACAGCGGGATAAGTTCAGCAAGAAAGATAATTTTCGGAAAAGATTTCATATAATTAAAGAGAATATAATGCCATATACATTTACAACAGTACAAGGAATGAAAACTTAGATCAAAGAAAAAAGATCGGCATCAATGATGTAAATCAGTATACTGTATTCGTATTGACAACAGGGAACAAACATTTCATTATATACAATCCTTATTGAAACATTACAAGGGGAAAACCCCAGATGTTTTGAAAATCAACGCGAACGTTTTATTATTCACAATACTTCGTGCACCCGCTGAAGCAACGCTGGCCTTTGACCCATTCCATGATAGGGCTTATGTCACAATGGAGGGGATCTGTGTTGATGCAGTTTTCTAAATCGAAATTCTTGAATAAGCATGGATTCATGCAGTTCTTTCCTGTAAATTGAAACAAAAGAATTAAGCATATGGTACCAGGAAAGGAGAAAATGTATGGCTGGACCGTCATAAATTCCTCTGACTCTATTCCCCGCATTTATATTGTGAAATGAACGGGGGAGAGACAGAGTGGAAGCCATATTGAAAAGTGGGAATTCAGCGACACCACCTGGTGTCGCGACTCTGTCGACCTTCATTTTGCGGATATGACTTCTGAGACGCGAGAACCCAGTAAAATCAAAGTACTGATACAGTACTGAAAGACGGGGTCAAATAAGTTTGTTTGTTTGTATGTTGTTTAACGTCCCTCTCGAGAATTTTTCACTCATATGGAGACGCCACCACTTGCCGGTGAAGAGCTGCAAATTTTGTCCTATACTCGGCAATTACGGTCATTGAGCAGTGAGGGATCTTTTTCGTGCCAGCACCTACTGCGACACGGGACCTCGGTTTATACGGTCTCATCCGAAGGACCGGACTCCACGTCCCACAGTGGGATTCGAACCCGCGACGTAAGGATCAACTCCTTACTCCGACACTCTAGAGCAGACGCTCTAACCACTGCGCCACGCGGGCGACGGGACAAATAAGAAACTTCATCATTTTACATTTCATTACTGCTTGTTGAAAATTTTTGTAGGGCTTTCATACCAACTTAATTTTTTTTTATTATTTAATATTAACAGAAAATTAACAAAAAACACTGTGAAAAATATATCTTCACGTTTATCCTTTACATTGTAATAGATTAATCAGTAATCACTAATCAAGAAACCTTTTTGAATTGTCCAAATTTCACCAGGTTCGAATTAATATTACATTTCGAGAAGTAAACAATCGATGACGCGTACGCAGTCTTGTATTACGCAGCCGAGTAGTTTGTATACTAGAGTGGTTCAGTATTATGTTTTCCACGTTTAAAATTTTCAAAACGCGTCTTTAATTTGAGTAATAAAATCTTCATATCACTCTCTTTAATTTGATCCGGAGTGTTTGTATTTTAATCAAAACAATTTCTGCACTCTTTCATTTAGCGTAGATTTAATCCATGCGTTCTCCGCACGGCTTCCGTTTTGAGGCTTCAACTGATAGTAAACTAAAAGACAGAGTCACGTGACCCTGTATAAAATGATTCTTCTACAACTGAATCATCACTAATACGATGCTATCGCCATTTAAACGGTCCTATCACCGACAACTGAAGCATCGCTCAAATTAGGTCGCCTCCTGGCCATTCGATTTCTTTGCGCATGATGTCAGCAAACAAATACACAAGCAAACTATCATTTGAACAAATCATGGTGTGGTAATGCTGCATGCATTTTTCTTATAGGGACCATTCTCGACAGTTGCTTTCCTTATCAATGAATAAAACAAACATCATTCTGTTGTTTTTTGAACTTCCTCTCACGTACAGCACTTTCATGTGTTTGTGACAGCCCCACGTTTTGGCCACGTGTTAGTTTGACACTTTTTTTTGCATATTTGCGTGCTGACGTCATGCGAAAAGAAATCAGATGGCGAAGATGCGACCTAGTTCAAGTGATGCTTCATTTCTTGGTGATATATCCGATGAAAAGGCGATAGCATCGTATTAGTGGTGATTAAGTTGTAGAAGAACCATTCCTTTACTGAGTTTTCGGGTCTCGGAAGTAAGATCCGCGAAACAAAGTTGTAAAAAAGTTGTAAAAGGTCGGCAGAATCGCAACACCAGCTGGTGTCTTTTCAATATGGCCTCTGCTTTGACTCTACCCCGCACGTCACAATATAAAAGCGAGGGTTAGAGTCAGAGGAATGTCGGATTAGGCTAAACCGAGAATCGAATCGGGGGGCCGGCCCCTGCATTATTAGGCGCTTTATCGACTGAGCTATCCAAGACGATATCCTGACCCAAACCATTACATTCCTACATCCTTAAGGCAAATACTGACTGACATTTTTCATACTAATTGCATGTCCATTATTTAAATACTGAAATATCTGCGGATTTTTCTTTTTCCCGATCATGACAATGAGCACACGGCGGGTGCATGTGACCGGTCGAGAGGGGATGCTTACTCCTTCATGGTACCTGATCCCATCTCTGATGTTTTTTAGAGGTCCGTTTTACTCTGATCCTGGTTTATATTGTTTCAATAGACTTTTGAGCTTTATTACTGTTCGTTATCTCCATATTTGATTTGATCTGTAGCTCTTTTGTTTGCCTGTCCGAATTTTCTCAATCGGAGAGCTATAGTTCCTGTAGCTTTGCGCATTAAAGCTTAAGGTGAAGGCCAATACATTGCTCAAATCCAGTACTGAAGGGACATGCCAAATAATGGAAGATAGATGAAGATTTGGCCTTAAAAAATTCAACAGCAGATTGTCCAGTCAGACTCATTCCATCATCCTATGATGTTAAAATGTATATACGTTTAAATACCAGGAATTTTTTTACCGTCACATCTATTCAGATTGTTTTAATAAACATAAAAGACATACAATAAAGATATAAATCAGAATTATTAAAAGAAGTAAGATAATTAAAATATCTAACCAGAGCACTTTTTGACACATCCTCGGAAACACCCAAACCCGTACTGGTCAATGATGTAGCTAGGCTCCACTACACAGCAAGGGTCAGTGTTCCAGCATGTCGGCAAATCCTGGTGTTTCATTGGAGGACACGCCTCAGCTGAGATTTATAAATGACAAATGGAATGTAATATACAATTTTATAACAATTTTAAGATAGGGAGCAGGGGTGGATCCTGGATTTTGCAAGAGGGGGCATAATAAGTGCCGACGATACTTTTTGTTTGCGATATTATTATTACTGAGTATACCAGAAACATGTTTTTTTAACAGATCATTTATTCTGCTTTTTTATGTTCATTCAATTAAATGTACTAGTATGATACAAGATTATCCGGACAGTTTTTGCTGTATTGCAAAGTGCGCTAATTACTTGGCAAGCCATGTAACATGTATTGCTGGCGTTTTGAGGGTTGCTTATAATATTGAGAACATTTAGTATGATTATGTTAGAAGATTAATTTTTGAGAAAAAACTAAATAATAAATCCTTAGGGTCGGGGTAATAATCTCGAGGGGGAGGGGGTTGGGGGGTGTCAACAAGCAAGTGATACATGTTTGAGGATAAAACTTTCCTTATTTTCAAATGAGGACTTTACTAATATTCTTATTAGTAATTGCGTGGACCCTGAGGTCCACGCAGAAAATATATTAGCGGAGTTAAACCGGATGCCATGGGCTTACGTCAGGCTACGCATGCGCGATGATGCTAGAGAGTTCGCCTCTAAGACAACTTGACCGTAGAACAATTCGCCCTCTTCAAATTAGAAAAAGCCAATCATTGGCAAACATCGCTCTAAAATCTGCACATCGTATTTATGTATTCTTTGGCGTAACCAAGATCTGAATTTCTCTTTAATACATATATCCTTATATGCTCTATGGTACAAGCATTTTAAATAAGTAGGAAGAACTTATAGAGATAGCTTAACAGCTTGAACATGTTGAATTAAAACCACTAGGTGTTAAAAGATGGTCTTTGCCATGTTTACCAGCATTAGTTTTGTGCATCAAGGTTTGCAAAATAATTTGATAGACAGCAATCCAAATATAGCTTGATAAAGGCTTGTAGCAATGTTTTTCCATGTGGGGGAGAGGGAGAAACATCCAAAAAAAAAAATTCTGCGTACTACATATCTGTGCTACACGTGTACCATCTATCTTTCCAATGATAGGATACTTCCGTATAAATCTAGTACAGATGTCATGTCCCAGCCGTTAAGCATTACATGTATCGAAATAGCCCGATTTTTTTCAGTTAAATGACAAAACTATAGGCCAATCGGGAATAAAATTTAACAACTTTGCTATGAAAGCACAATCACTCAAAGTAGGCAGATCATTGTAGAAAATGTTAACGAAAGGTAAACCTGTGTCACCTTTCAGAGTAACCAATGAACTCGTCCATGGATGCATTGACGGTCGTTGTAACAAGAATAGATATGGGTTACCCCATATCCAAAATATTCGACTTTTAATTTACTCCAGTTTTCACAAGAAAAAAAACTGTACATGTTATGAAACTGGTGTATAGTCCTTCATGTCTGTAGCAAATACCGTCACCAGCCTAAGCGTCACTAGCAAACAGTACACACACCTGTGCTTGCAAGACCAAATAGCCTAGGTCTACACACTTGCGATAAGATTGTCAATCGCATCTTCTCAGACCTTTTGCCGAGAAGTTACGTACGATTGCAGGTGTTGTATATTAACCATTCCGTTATTTAAAAGAGACAGAGAGAAAAAAAAACACACAAAAATTAATCTTTTTTGTGTGTTTTTAAATTGATCGAGTCAATCGATAACTTAGCATAGCCATTGTTTAAGATAACTCGAGACCCTTTAGTAAAGGGGGGGGGGTTCTAAGTCACACCACAGGCACTTACATTCAAGCCCGTAGCAACGGTTTTCAAAGGGGGCAACCTCCAAAAAGAGTTGACAAGCAGAAATAAATAAATAAATTAACAACCTGTGCACCACCCTGTAAAATCCTCTTGGGGGGGGGGGGGCTTCGTCTAACTTTTCGATACATTTTGATTTCTTTTAAATGTTTGATTTTCTGTATTTTGAACCTTTCCGCAACAAAAAGTGCGGGGGAGCTTCCAATGCAAATTAAAACTTATATATTCAAATTCTAACAAAAGATTTTTTTAAGAAAAAGTAAGCCCCCCCTCCCCCACATACTACGGGACATTTTGAACCTTTCTCTTCATTGATTAAAATATCCCCATAATATAAGGAGATAAATATTGTCCTTTATAAAAATTTTGATATTTTTTAGGCAAAACTTGTACATGACAATTAATTGTCAGGTACAAATTTTGCATAAGAAATATCAATATTTTTGTAAAGGATAATATTCTCTTATGGATACTCCCTTTCATGACTTTTTATGCATACTTCTTAAAGTTAGTTACTTTAGAAGATGGTCCAAAAATGGCATAGCCGTACGTTCGTTCGCTGGAATCTTCCGACGATATCAAAGTGAAATATTTCATGTTACATGTGGGTGGTCGAGGCCCGGGACCGGTATTGTGAAGGTACACGGAGGAAGCAATAAGCAAAACTCTTTCTATAGAGAGCAGAAAGGGCAGAGATTGAAGTACTTAATATTTTATTGAAAATACTAGATGTAAAAAAAATATATATATTACAGAATAAACATTCTCTCTCTTCCTCTTTCTGCAAAAATAAAGGGGGTTCCAACGCCCGACCCCCCCCCCCTCCCTGGATACGCCAATGGAGATTACGATACCTGCACGCTTAAGCCTCTTTTAATTCTGTTGTTAATTTCAAAGGCTAAATTACAATTGTGATAGATACCTAGATCAACATTTCATATTCATATCATTTCAAGGTCACGATTTTTCCTATCATTACAGCCTAATTAAGCAGACTTAAATAACGATGACAATTAGAAAAAAATTAAGATTAAACTTAATTACACCTTTGTAAACTCACTAAGTCTAGAAATTTTCTTTAAATTTCGTTTCGAAACACATGCATATGGTCCACGTATTGCAGTCCTTTTTTAAAGGACAGCAACTTGTTAACTACATACTGATTGCACAAAAGAAGGGGGTGTGGTGTTAAGCCGTCTTTTAAATTCCCCACTGGGAATCGCTTGTTATATACATTACTAGTACATGTACTTTTTCGAGTCCAAGTTCATTTCAGAGGCACTTGTAATCAGTATAATTTATTCTTTAAATGGACGCGTCTTCGAGGGAATTCGAACAACTACTTTAATTCAGAACACAGCACAAACATTAAAGGTGCATAGACACAGATTTGAAGTTTATATTTTCTCAAATTTTCTGTATAATATCAAAACTTATATGTTGCTATAGAATTTCACACGAAAATAAAATTAAAAACTTATTTATTCTGGAAATTATTGAAACTACGAATTTTGGGAGGCGTTTGATTAACACATCCTTGCACTTTCACAATTTTTAACTTTATCCTAATACTTAAGAAAAGTAGCAATTTTGTTGTGTATTAATGAATAATATTACATCTATAATCCAAACAATTCAGAGTAAAAATGTGCAAAAGCAAAACCCACTCACTTAAGTATTGTCAGCCCGTGCTCAGTGTTGTGTAGTTGTGTACAGAAGTTAACAAATTGAATACACCCGTGAAACGTAAACTGTTTTTGTGAACAGGGCACGAGCTCTGTTGTTGTTTATGTTTACGTTTCACCGGGTGTGTTCAATTGTTAAACTCTGCACACACCACTGAGCACGGACTGACAATACCGGTGAGAGGATTTTGCTTTCTACATTTCTACTCTGAAATTTCTGCATTATAGTTTTAATATTTTTCATTAATAAACAACAGAATTGCTACTTTTCTAAAGTAATAAAGATAAAGTTAAAATTTGTGAAAGTGCAAGGATGTGTCTATCAAACGCGTCCAGAAAATCGAAGTTTCAATAACTTCCAGATAAAATAAGATTTTTATCGAATTTTCGTATGAAACGCTATAGCAACATACAAGTCATGAAATTATACAGAAAATTTGAGTAGATATTAACTTCAAATCTGTGTCTAAGCACCTTTAAACTATTCTATAGACTTAATTCCACTGAAATGCAAGTCATATTGAATTAGATGGTCCCGTGTCACAGTAGGTGCTGGCACGAAAAAGATCTCTCACTGCTCAATGGCCCTGAGTGCCGAGTATAGGTCAAAATTTGTAGCCCTCCACCGGCAAGTGGTGGCGACTCCAGATGAGTGAAAAATTCTCGAGAGGGACGTTAAATAACATACAATCAATCTATCTTTTTCACGGAAGTGTAGCTAGGATGTAACTTGCACGTGGAGACATAGTTAACAGAAACTATGTTACGTATCAGTGTTCACCACTGTATAATATCAGTGGAAATGTACTTAAATCTCTCTAGAATTCATTCAAACTTTAAAACCGACAAAAGATCTAAATGAGTTGAAGGGCATTATGCGTTATTGCGAATACTACAGGAATTGTACACTTGGAAAGACCAAATCTAAGTTAGCAGTCGGGAAAATACAATGATATTTTTTACATGCATTTCATAAATGGAAAACAATATGTCCGTTATTATCTATTATTTCCACGCTCACATTTACAAACAATTGTTAAATAAGCGTAGAATTCCAGGTTTCTCAAAACCAATTCCGTAAGGCGATTTGCGTCTGTATTCCTTTGTTGTACCATCGGTGAATACATTTCCTGGTCAAAGCCAAAGGACCCGCGTGTAAAAAAAACTTTAAAAAACCCTTTATTGGCCATTTAAATGCATAAAAAGTTATAAGAGAAAAGATTATAAGAGATGCTTCTCGTTCTCCTTAAAGTGGTAATGTTTTTGCAAAACATTATGAATGTTGCACAGATTACATTTTATGTTCATTGTTTAACTTTGAATTTGTAGTCAAAATTATGAAATATGGAGATAACGAACAGTATTCAAGCTCAAAATCCATTTAAACTAGGGATGTCAATTTTGTCAGTAATTCATATTCGAATATTCAATGAAAGTATTCGAATATATTCGAATATTCGATAAAATAAATAAAATCTGGTTTATTTTAAATATGCATGATCCTACTCTCATGAAAGGTTTAGCGTACTAGGTATTCTAATATTGGAGTAAAATTGTGTGAAGGCTTTTGTAGATGTACAATAAGAAATTCCATTTGATATTTGTCAATGTCTGAAATAAATAATTGATTTAAATGTAGAAAAACATGATTTTAACAATTTAATAATTTAATAAATTTATAGTAGCTCCAACTGAGGAACCAATCGTCTTACCAAAGGCAGGATAGTCGTATACTGTTTAGATTTCAATACGTGTAATTAATTACAATTATCAGTCTAATAAGAGGTATGATTAAAATCTTTGATAAAATATTTTTAAAATATAAACAAATATTTCCATAGACAATTTTCCTAGGTAATTAATTAATTTACCGATAATGAATATAAAATTCAGGATTATGTACAACCCGAGATACATGTAATCAAGTAATTTACATATTTATTCTGAAATTGAGCCTTTTACAATATTAATTACAGACTAATTCTATCAGACACTCATTCAATGATCAATTAAATTTATTTTGATAAGTATACTCTTCATGTGTTTTAGACATTCTAAGAAGGTTTTCATTTATAATCAAACTTTATTAATCACTATTTCTTTTTACGAAATCTGTAAAACACCGAATATTCGAATCTTAAATTTATATTCGAATATCAACTCATCGAATGAATATTCGAATATTCGAATATTCGTTGACATCCCTAATTTAAACAATACAGATTGGGAGCAGAGCAAACACTGACCTCCAAAAACATCAGAGGTGGGATCAGGTGCCATAGAGGAGTGGGCATCACCTGCCGACCAGTCACACCCGCCGTGTGCTCCTTGTCTTGACCAGGAAAATCCGTCGACAATTTAGTTTGTAAATAATGGCCTAACAATTAGTATGAGTCAGCATTTGACTTAATGATAGGTTGTATTTGCTGACAAGGTCATTGTATCGACCATAAAACTTGCCAAATGATGAATTCAAACTAGAATGTTGATATCCTTGTTTCATCAACTTGTTTGTCAATAGCTTGCCTCGTTTTAGAAATTGTTCATAGGTAGAGCATGTTCTTGCGTATCGAATCAACTGGGATACAAAAACCCCATATGCAGGTGATACGGGTATATTGCTACATAAGTAAGGGAAGTTGAAAAATTGAAATCATCACGTTTATCATATAGTTTGATTGTTAGGTTACTAGGTTTAAGTCTTTTTCTAGTAAAATATCCAAATATGAAACAGATGTGTCAGACTCTCTGGTATCTTTTATTTCAAGTTTACTGGGATATATCGAGTCGACATATGAATGGAAGTAACTATTGTTAATTGATAATACGTCGTCGATACATCTAAATGTCGAGTTGAAGACCACATCAAATTTTTTCTTCTTCTCATGTAGAAGTTTTTTTGATAAATTCTGCTTCATATGAATACAAAAATAGGTCTGCTAATAAGGGGGCGCAATTGGTACCCATGGGAATTCCAACAGATTGTTGGAAGACCTGATCCCCAAAAACCATATAGATATTGTTAATCAGAAACTCAAGCATCTTTTTAATATCAACTTAAGAGTACTTGTGTGTACAATCAGAATGTGTTTCTCCTTAATCGTCCATCTTCTATATTTATAAAACCGGTTCTACCCTTTAATCTTTGAATGGGTCAAACAAAGCCCACGTGTCTTGCATTTAAATCACAATAACATTAGCAGGGTAGGTCTATTGGACGCAAATTATGAGTTCATAGGGGCCGGTAACATACTATGTTTGACATTACATAATCACTATCTTGTATAACGGTATACATGGTGATCACGTAAAAAAGTACCGGTATGTTACTGGTCCCTGTGGGGCAAGCTAACAGATTCCTACCCGGCCATGTGCTCAACCATCTAGGATAGTTGCACAATGTTTGGGGGGGAAATCCTTCCGCCAAGCAAGACAGACACATAAGCAAGGATTTTGAAGTATTTGCTAATCAAATTATGTGGCGAACATTTTTTAAACACAAAAAAAATAAAATTGAAATTATCATAAACCGAAAGAATGATAACAAAACAAACCTAAGTTAAGCTGAAAGAGAAAGTGGACAGCTACAATCCAAAGAACTCTCCTACAGTCAAACTTTACATCCATATTTGACATAATTCAAGCATGTACTGAACAAAGATAACAATTTATACATTTATAATGCCAGATTTCACATCACAGCAGCTGCTTCTATCATTAACGACTACACAACAAATTAAAAGACAATATCGACACTTTACAGCTGATATTAAAATTTTCAGTGTTCAGACACGTTAACATTTAATATACACTGTTCCACTAATTATTTTTTGCTTACGCATGGCGAAATTCTGCTTGTATCTTTAGTATACATCACAACACACCATGTATATCTGAGAAAAGGTCGACTCAAAATACACCTATTTCAATTTATCATAATATGAACACTAAGTATATGTGGGTAAACCTTTCCCGAGTACCATGAGATTAGATATATATAAATATTTTCCACGAAAAAATGTTTAAAGACAACAAACAGATATCAATGCTGCTTACCTATGAATGAGGAAAGATACTCAAAAAAAGAAACGCATAATAGAAATAATAATGTAAGATGAATATGATTCATTCGGGTAAAATACATCATTTTTAACGACTTTCGAGTTTGACCTACTTTTGAAAAACTTTAACCTTGGCCATAACTTTTGAACAGTTGGTGTTAGGTCTTTCATACTTCACATATGCATTCCTTGTGAAAAGACCTTCCTTTAGATACCAACAGCTTTGACCCCTTGACCTTGCCCTTGGAGTTTGACCTAATTTTGAAAAACTTTAACCTTGCCCATAACTTTTGAACAGTTGGTGTTAGGGCTTTCATACTTCAATGTATATTCCTTATGACAAAACCTTCCTTTGGATACCAACAATTTTGGCATTGACATAACCTTGGAGTTTGACCTACTTTTCAAAAATTTAAAATTTGGTCATAACATTTGAATGTTTGGTTCTAGGGCTTTCAGATTTCACGATCACTTGTGACAAGACCTTCCCTTGGGCACCATTTGACCTTGACCTTGCCGTTTTACTTACTTTGAAAAAACTTTAACCTTCGCCATAACTTTTCAACGGTTTGTAATAGGGCTTTCATATTTCACAGGTATATTTCTCGAGACAAGACCTTTCTTTTGGTACCAACATTTTTTGATTTTTTGACCTGGAGTTTGACTTGCATTTGAGAAACTTTAACCTTCGCCAAAAGCTGCCATACGGGGGCATCAGTGTTCACAAACACATCTTGTTTGGTTTTGTTTCGTGTTGTTTTCTTTTCTGATTGTAAATGTTTTGGAAGGCTACCCCCTCCACTTTCAAAAATGTTGCTACGGGCCTATCAAAAGACGTAATAAAGGCTTTTTAAAAGACGTAATAACGCCTCACACCTCTTTAAACGCCTTTTTAAAAGACGTAGTAATGACGCCTTTATCCACATTATTACGCTTTTATTGGCGTTATAATGCCTTTTCATTTCGCGTAATTACGCCTTTTTTTCGCGTTTTTTCCCCCTGTTTACCTATCTGTATTGTTTGTTGTTTTTACTAGATCGATCAATGCTCGTTATCTTCATCTTTCTGCAACAATTTATATGAAATTGTCTTTTACTAATTTCAATTTCAACTGTCAATGAGTATATTAATCATGTACTCTCATTGGCAAATGAATTACTGAAAGACAACACTCCTCATTATGCAGTGTTTGTAGCGTTTAAATCATTAAAGTCACTGTCTTTCTTCATCATTTTTATATATCGAGACTAAGCGAAAAACTTTTTATTTTTTTCGCAAAAGTTATGCATTATAATGCGAAACTTACGCGTTTACCCACCAGAGTTACACTTTAATTCGGAAAAAAAATTGAGCTAGAATGCGGAAGTTACAGGTTATTACGCGAAAGTTACGCAAAAAATATGTCCCTATTTTGCAATATTCGTAATTTAATTTCTCTCAGAATTATATATTGATTAAGTCTTTTGTATGTAATTTGCTTTCTATTTACTGATCCAAAATTAAATCAAGGTATAATGGGGTTTATCCAATATGGATAAACCTGGTTAATTATATCATATCCAAAGACCGATAACTCTTATTCTTATTAGGTTGTTAATTCATCGGGCTCGGTGCTTAAAAATTCCTGATTTTTGTTGAATGCGCATGTCTTCTAGAATATACCTTTTCATTCCGTAGTTTGAAAGAAGCAGACGCAATTTTTTTTTTAAACCCACCCTCCCTCCTCCCAATTTGTTTTTATTTTCCCCCATCAGCATCTCTGTCATTTTCTAATACAATGTATTTTTCGGTTGTTTTTTCCGTTTTCTTTAAATTTCTCGTTTCAGCGTCATGGCATGGATCAAATGCTGCATAGGATCCGTCGGCCTGTTGATGTGCTTTGCAGAACCTCAAAAAGTACCAGTCGCGTGTGATTATTGACTTTGTTAGGCATAATTTTGCATAGAATGCTGTCTCCGGGGGGTACTGTTTTTTCCAGGCTCCTTGGATCAAGATGGTATTCTCTTGCTTATTATCTATATTCATTTACCTATGCTGCCATATTATCATCATCGGCGCATAAATTATCCAATTTATTATTAAATGGCCATGACAAGCATGCCAAAACATATACAGACTTTTATTGATTGTATTTACATACATCTTTAACTTTTTAAAGGGTGAACCTGATCAAGTTTGTTTCTGTTGTTGTCCAAGTCTAATGTCACGAAATAACTTCGCGGCAGACATTTTATAATGCAAACCACGCAGGGTGGGGGATGGGGTAGCTTACTCTCTTTCTTACTTATCTCTACTACCCTTCTGGGGCAAAGCCATCTACAAGATTCCTCTAGCCATCCCTATTCTTGGCTTTGTTCTCTTGATCTTTTTCAGGTGTACGCTAGTTTTTAATTCCCTCCAGGTGTTACTGGATTGGCGTCTTTTTCTTTTACCATGAGGACTCCATATAAATGTCTGCCTGATAATGTCGGTTGATGGTTTACGGAAAAGTGTGTCCAAGTCATTTCTAACGTCTTTGCAAAGTTTCTGTTTCAAATCTTAGCTAGTTTGTCTTATGCAGTATGTCGGTGTTGTAGATCGTGTTTGGCCATGCAGCGTATTTGGAGGTTTCTTTGTAAACAGGTGTCGACAAGCGTCTGTAGAATTTTGGTGTTGGCCACTGTAATCCTCCAAGTTTCCGCACCATACCTCAAGACTGCCTTGACAATATGAAGGCCTGTTTTCCCTCCAGGAGTTCTTCAATTTTTATTGCCTCAGCATTTAATTTAGCAGTGTTAAGACTTTTGTATTTTTCTTGTTGATTGAAAGTAAGTTTTGTGCAGCAAATTCTGCTACTTTGTTTGTTTTATTCTGCATTTTCTATTGTATCTTGAATAGTAGAACTTAGTCGTCTGCAAAATCCAGATCATCTAATTGTGTCTAGAGTGTTTGTTGTAGCTGTTTTCATAATCTAGAGTACCACCAAAATGAATAGGATTAGTGAAAGCAAGTACCCTTGTTCTGAAAAAGAATGGGTCTGTTAGTAGTCCACCATGAATGAATCTGGTCGATAAATCTTAATATAAGTCCAGTATAATATATATCACTTTTATTGGCATACTATAATGTTAGCTGCAGATCTGTAACTCGCTGGTCTGAAAAAAAAAATGGATGGACGACCAGAGATCGTACATCTCAATTTTTTCATGTTCGCGACGAGAAAAATTTGCGATTGAAAGAAGGTCGCGAAACTCGCGGATATTTCTCGCTCGCGAAAAAAGTATGTTTACTGTATAGAAATAAATTACAACACAAATAAATCATCATGCTCTATTTTTTTTTAAAAAAGGAAGCAACGTTAACATACCTAACTAGTCCTTTTATTTTGGAACAATCTTCAAGACATGCATAACAAAACTCGACTGAAACTAATTGCATGTTTGTCACGAATTGTTTTGAGGGAAATAATTACGTTGAAAATCGACTTTTTAAAAACATCTGTCGATCTACCGTCAGGCTCATTGTCTTCATCGCATCCTTTTTATTATTTTTTTTTTTCACAAAAGGAATCCAGAGAAGGTTGTGATAGGTACAGAGTCGGAATAGTAACCAGTGCCAGAATAACGTTTGACCCACACCTTGTCTCCCTGGTTTAGTCTTAAAACAACCATGTTAACCCCTGTTTCAAAATAATCCTTATCACCGGTGTCGTATGCCATTGTTCTGACCTTAGCATCTCCATTCAATACAATGTCCATCCGAATCTCATTTCTATCATAACTCTGAACACTGACAAAGAAGACGTAGTGCCCGTCCACGGGGGTCGTGAACATCCCTGTTGTAGGGTTGTAGCCTCCTCCTGTGTTAAATATTATCTTGGGGAAAACAAGTGTACTTCCGGTCCATGAAGAGGAGTCAGTCGCTATCCCTGCGGTGAAGGCCACTTTTGAAGATACCCCTAAAAACAGGAATGTTAACATAATTGCTAGGGTTTATTATCATTTGCATGAGTTTAGTAATTATTAATTTAACTTTGAATTCAAATACAATAAAGTAAATGGATACAAACAATTTCTGCATCTGTAAATTATTTCAGTCAATACATCATGCAATTGTATTAACACACACACACACACACACACCCTCTCTCTCTCTCTCACACACACACTATTGCAGAATTTGAAAAAAAAAAATGAAATGCCGCTGGGGGGGGGATACTTGTAAATGCCCAAGGGGAATCAAGGTCTTTTAAACTCGATAAAATTAGATTGTAATGAAACCCTATTTCAATCTCAGTCAGAATTTACTTGCTTTTGCTAAAAGTGATTTAGAAGTACTCTAGACATAAAATCATCATGCTGCATCATATTATGATACACATACTATAACTCGAGGAAGAAACAAAACATTATAATTCATTAACCTGTCATTTGGAGAACAAGAAATAAAAGCGTACATACCACACTGTCTGTTGGTATAATTCAGTCGGAACACCTCTAAAGATGACACAGCAGAGGAGAGTTTTAATTGTTCAAACTGAGTCTGTTTGACTTCCGATTTGAGGCCTTCCATTGTGTTGTTCATATTATCTGTAACAAATTACTGCGGAAATATA